AGGAGCCGCCCTGCAGTTCCCTCACAGTTCGGCCGCCACGCCGCCCTCAGCGCCTTGGCCGCAGCCCGCCGAGCTTTTCGCTGGCTCCTCCCTGGCTCCCGTCTCTTTTCTCGCTTTCGTTTTTCCCTTCGCTGTGGAGGTGGTTCGTTATCCTGGCGGTATTCGCCCTGGGGGTCCGTCTCACCTTTCTGGCTCTGCCAGCGATTTGCTCAAGTGTTTACGTGGCCGAAAGCCGTATAGCGTGCCGCATGCCCCGAAAAGCTAAGGAAAGAAGTTGTTCTGGAAGTACTTTAATGTTTGCTGGCCGCATTGCGTAATGGCGCTGGGTGCCGCTGTCCCGTAAACCTCTGCTTCAGCCTTTCTCGAGTTCCTCTTCAGCCCCACTGCCACCGACGACGTGATGTAGGCCGATATCGGGCACCCTACCGGAACCGTGAGCTGCTTGAGGGCTGCCGAGAGTTTGAGGTTAACAACCTCTCCCGTGCAGCGGGAGAGGGCAGTGTTGGTCCAGCAGGACAGTCTTCTGTTAGTGTTTCCAGGTTTTCTCCTCAAGCGTAAGGGGAATATCCGAATTTACCCTGTGAAAGAGCCTGTGCAGCAGACAGGTTTATCTTGGGAGCAAACGTGAGCTTGCCCACACTTAAAAGCCGAGTTCGTGGTACCGGAGTAATTTTTTTTTTTAGTGAAGAGCAGGCATCTGCTGGTGGGGAGAGCTGGGGAGCTTGCTGTTACCCTGTTTAAAGGCCCTAAGAGAGCCTTTCACCGCACGAGTAGCGTTGGGAGAACATCTGACACCCAGCCGCTGATTCTGAAGTTAACGGCTCGTTCTTGAAACCTTTTGCTGTGATAAAAACGTCCCTTGATCCTTTACTCTTGCAAATCTGTTCCTCCCCCATGCTTGTCTGGGAAAGCTGTTTTGAAAGTAAGCTAAAAGTCCTAGTGCACCTCCTATTAGCTGACTGCACTGACTGTCCTGTCTCCAGAGATGTACTATGCTAATTTTTCTATGTACCAGTGAGGAATTTACAAAAGTGAATGTTGTTCATTCGTCAGAAGTGAGTGCTGTGCATGCTGTGGTCGTTCTTCAGATGTATACCCAGAATAATAAATGACTTTTTTTTTTTTTTATCCTGAAACCTGTTATCCAGAAACTGTCATATAGCTCTTGAAGTGGTTTAAGTGCTGTATTTCTGAAGGGAACAGGAAACGGTCACATACCTCACTGATGCAAACTGACAAAGGTCTTTTCATATCTTTTTACGTTTCTTGAAAGTGAAGAAACAGCATCCGTGTTTCTAGCCTGATCCTACCATAACCAAGAGAAAGGCTAGGTGGATTCAGGCTTAATTCAAATTATCAGAATACTGAAGTTAGCTAATGCATTTGTAGCTGTTATCTTGAGATGTAAATTACCATGCTGATTGCCAAAGATCTGTGAATAGCAGTGTTTCCTTCACTAGGGAGCAGAGTGGAGAAAAGTGAAAGGTCATCCAAAGGTGGCTGGAGTAGGTGGATATGATGTGAAATATGCTGGAGAGTATGCAGCATAAGGAGTTGTGGGTTGTATGTGGGTTTTCTGAGTATGATGGCTGTATGAGTAAGTCTTAATTAAAACTAATGCAATAAAACTGTAGCTCAGGAGAAGATCTTATTTGATCCAGACAGTAGATGTGTTGTCATTGTGGTTTTAAGGCAAAAATGTTTGACTGAGATTGACGTAAAAAAGCAACTGAACTGGTTAGGTTGCTGGCTTCTGCTGTGATCAAACCACAAATAGATATTTTTTTTTTTTTCCCCTGCTCTCCTCTATATGCATTTGTATTTGAAGTCCTCTAGGTTTTTGTCTTTATTTCCCATACTTTGGTTGCTTTCTACTGTAGAGTTGTTTATAGCTGGCTGTATTACCTAAAGGAAAAATGTAATCAAAAGGAACAAAGCTCTTACCATCTGAGGTTTCATTGAATTTCTGCAAAATTGGTGGATTTTGGTAACTTCACTGGAGTAGTATTTTCTCTATTATCTGAGATTACTATAGTTAGAGGTTGCATGAAGCATAATCTTGGTGTACATGTGGGGTCTGGTTTTGGAGTATCAGTAGTGTCTGGAGCAATGTGTATTTGTGTCTTGTCAAATGCATTCTGAAGTTGAAGCTTTCAGTTGCAGTTAGTTCAGTGAGAAGGATTGTGCCTTAACTTGGAAGATGTACATATGGAAGGGTACAGATCTAAGAGTTGTTTCTGTGGGTGAAGTTGCTCTTTTGATGGTGGTAATTTTGTCCTAATCAATACTTTTTTTTTTCTCCCAGGCCTTTGTGAAAGCCTTTCTGACTGCAGTTCGTGTATTGGTAATGACACAAATGTAACAGGCTGCAAGTGGATCACATGTGATGAAGGTAAGGAGGACTACACAGTGCAGATCCTTACTATGCCGTGCAGAACCTTAAACCCGACTAGACCTACTTCATTTATACTAATGTTCATCACACAAATATACTGTTCTGTCTGATAACCTAATGGAGCATTAGCTCATAAGTTTTATCTGTTGTTAAATGTTTCTTAGTTCTTATGTGGAGACAGCTGAATATATTCAAAATAATCCCAGATATTTAAGTCTGTGCTTTTGATAAGCTAGTGTTTCCCAGACAGTTCAGGATGTTTTTGGAACAAACTAGTCACTTGTGTTTGCTATTAAGGAGTCATGAGTAGATTCTGGCATGTCAGCACATCCCTGTGCTCCAGTCCCTTTTGAGGTTTTGTCATAAACCTGGTCACAACCGCTATTCCTGAACTGAAGTACAATAAGGGAGAGGAGTCCATTAAATAAGATTAGTTGAGAGTAGTGTTCCTAAAACTAAAAATTGCAACCCACTGAAGGGAACGTGACAGAGCCAAAGACGCATTAGCTGGTCTCATTCAGAGCTTTGTTTTTCTCATTGTAGGATAGTTGGATGTAAATACATTTAAGTGACCTCTGGTATGCAGTCCTGGAGGAGATGAAGTTGCTGTTGACAAAGTCATACAAAGACTCCATAAGTAGTCATCAGGTGGATTATTTGTACTTACGTGAGGTGGAAACAGAAGAGAGAATTCCTTTACTGCTATAGTGATTTTGTAGCACTTGGTTGTAGATGACCAAGAAAAGTTACATATAAAGGCTAAGATGCTTTGGAACTAATGAAAAGAATTTTGGTTGTAACTTGTCCAGTACAGGAGTGTCCTTGAGGAAGCTCTTTTGCTGAATTCTGCATGTATTGTCTGACCAACAGGCACAAGCTACAAACAACCAAGAGATTTGTGTAACTTGTTTGAGGGAGAGGTTGAAATCTGAGTCAAGGTGTGTAGGCAGAGAATAAGAAACAGATGCCTTCAACGATTTCAAGGTCAATCATCTGTTTGAAAAGCTGGAACTGAGTTTTGCTTGCATATAGGAATTCCTTAAGACAATAAGATATTTTTTTATGATGCTATCATAGAGACACAAAATGTTTAACTTGAAAAATGCCACAAATAGAAACTGTGTGTAATTTTATAGTGTATGAAGAAAAAATAGCAAGCTATACTGTTATTGCAAAGTGGTGCATAACAATGTTTAAGTATTGCCTAAATGTTGATTTGGGTGGTAGACTAACTGTAGTAAAAGAAAACACTAAAACTTTTGTAATTTCCAGTTATTGATATATTGAAGTCCTGCATATTGCTATGGCTTTAATGTTATCCTGGCTAGAAGATGGTGTTTAGTTTGTCCTATGAATGGTTTACTAGTATTTAGGAACAATGTCTCAAATGCTTTAAAGTTCTGTTGCTGTAAATATTCTCGTCTCTTTTCTGACAGAAGAGATGTGTGTAAATGAAACAGAAGTAGATGGGAAACATAGCAACTGTACAACTGAAGAACAGTGTTCTTGTAAGTATTTAGATATTCAGCTTTCGTATTGTTTAATGTGAAGCAATTGCACTTAAAACTCCTTCATCTGTTGACCTTTGTTAATATGCCTTCTACAATTTACATAAGCATGTACAAGTATGTAAATAAGCCCTTTGCTTCCAGCTTAAACCTATGATAAGTGATATTAAAATACACAATTTTGTTGTGCATTCAGTTAGCTGCTTACTGTTGCTGACTGAAGAAGCCTGACATAGTGTACTAGACACGTGTGTCTAGCTACTGCCTTGGTTTCTTAGATTAAAATGGGTGACATTTCTTATTAGATACAGCATATCCTAAGGAACTTGTCAGCATCCTCAAGACAGTAAGCTGTCCCATTCAATAAAAAAAGATTCTCCTGCTAAGTCCATTGCTTCATCTGAGATGCAGTAAATAGGAAAAACTTAGGAACCTTCCAGTTTTAATTGTTAACTAGCACAGCTCTTCATGCAGTCCTGAAGTGCAAGATCTGAGTTGTAGAACTGTGTAAGGTAAATCGTTTATGCTTGGAACGTGCTCAGTTGCATATCTACTTCAGTCTTTAATTTATGCTTGCTGTGCAAAGCAGATTTGATGAGTAACATAGATTAAATCTTGAATTTCACTTTTGTGGAAGCCCCCTAGCTTTAGTTTGCCTGAAAGCTGACTTTAAAATAGGATTTTCTGGTTTTAAGATCTAAAGCAGCAAATGAAAATACTTAATACTCTTGTCTAGATGAGTTCAGCAGTCCTGCTAAAGAGGCTGGCTCACAGCAACAGAGATGAAACTTCCATGCTGCAATGGGCTATCTTGTGGTGGTGGCAGCCAGTCAGAAATAATTCTGCTTGACTTGGACTTCTGTGTTGTTTCTAAAATTGTAACAATCGCCTCTTAATCAGGAGTGTTAAAAGTACCATTTTCAGTACTTTCCAAAGACAGTGGTGTGCTGTTACAATGCCTTGTTTTATATGTAAGAGTAGAATTACTACAATCTGTTCCTGTTAAGCTTGTAGTGACATTATCAAGTTGTGTTTTAGCTTCTGCATATTCAAGGAAACTTAATTGTTGCTTTCAGTAGAAGGTCTCTGTTGGTGTGAGAGGAACCTGTATACCTTATCAGCTCTTACAGTGTCATGGTTCAGCAAGTGCTACATTCGGGAACTGACATGGAAAGACCTTAATGTGGACCTAAACTGACTTGATGCAAGTGGGACTTGAGAGAATGTAGATTCTGATATATCCAGCCTCTCTCTGTAGAAACAGCTGGCTCTGGTTTCCCACCATGCTGAATTGTTTCAAGATGTAAATAACCACATTTAAAGGACCATGAGCATTAAAGGCTTCTGGACATAATGGTATTTCAGCAGGGGTATGATTAAGCAACACTTTATATTAGCTGTCCACATGTGATTGACTCAGTTAATAGAGTAAGTTGCAGAAGGCTTCACAGTTATTGGTTTGGTTTTGTGTTGTGGGTTTTTTTTTTTTATTTTTTTTATAGCACATGCTGAAGCTGAGAGCACCTACAACCAGCAGTAGCTCTCAGAGCAGAAAGCTCTAAAGTTTCAAATAGTTGAGGATGTCTCTGATTTCTAGTTCAACTTGATAGATTCAGTTTTAGTTGCAGTGAGTTTGGGGAGCAGTACCAAATACCGAGCTTCCTATTGTGTAAAGCGTGCGCAGTTAATGCTTGTACGATATGACTCTCCTCCCTTCTGTTTGCTTTGAGGAGTCTTGAGTTGAACACTAGCTTGATTGGGCTGCCTGTGACAAGGTTTTTCATTTATTCACTCATGCAACTTTTGCTGTTAGTATGGTGAATTCAACATTCAACTGTTCTGCAATTTCAATCCAAAACTACAGTCGAACTTGGTGCTATATGAATTCCCTAAAACTTAGCCTGCTGCTGTTTTGTGTTTGGTTTTGTGTTGGGTTTGGGTTTTTTTGTTTGTTTGTTTTTTTGTTTTGTTACATTAAAGAGATTGATGGTATTTAACTTCTTTTTTTTTTTCTTTCATAGCTTCTGGACTTGTTCTTTATGGTGTTACTACACCGCCTTCCAATGCTACTACGTCGCCTTCCAATGCTACTACGTCGCCTTCCAATGCTACTACGTCGCCTTCCAATGCTACTACGTCGCCTTCCAATGCTACTACGTCACCTTCCAATGCTACTACGGAGTCTTCCAATACTACCACAGCCAGTTCTACTACCACAGCTCATACTACTATAGGTAATATAGTACCACTGAACATAGGGGGGAGGTCAGAGACGCAGTGTTCTGGCTTGATAAAGGAAGAGCTTTTAGGAGACAGTCTAGCTACAGGTGTTTGCTTACTCCAATTATGCCATTCACAGTTAGTGTTTTGGGGGTGGGGAGAAAGAAGTTTTGCTATCCTTTAAGTGTTTATCTCCTGTCTAGTGATATTACATTAAGTACTTTCTTAGTACAGTAAGTACTAACTGATTCTAAGGGCTGTTTAATGAAAGTCCTTTGCCTTAATGCAGATTCTCAGTTGTCTTGAAGCAACTGTCTTGATTCTTGTTCAAATACCAGCATTTATGTTAGTGCTTGAAAGAAAAGTGGGTTTGTCTGAACAAAGAATCACTGATCTGTGGAGAACCTTGAAATATTTGGCTAACAATGGTATGCAAGTTTTTAAACAAAAAAAAAAAGTCCTTATTGCAGAAACTTGGCTTAATGCCATGCAGCTGAACATCTAAATTGTGTGGGGTACAGTCTGAGGTCAAAGCTTATCCTTGTTTAAGCAAAACAAGATAAATCACTTAGGTGAGACTTTTCAGTGCTTGCAAACTTTGCTCTTGAAGCTCATGTTATGTACATACTGTCTTCTCTCAAACAGCTAACATCACCAATGTAACCACACATGCTCCTTTATCGACAACTGCCATAACTTCAGCCACCACAACAACCAGTATTCCAGGTAACTGCTACTACTAGCATAGTTAAAGCATAAAATAGTTAGAAATTAGTGTCGCTTTAAAAGAATTATCTTGATAGACTTACCAAGTGACAACATTAAAGTAGTATTGGTATATCTCCTGTTGTCACTTCTAACTTAATGGCACATCTAATTTTGTTAAGGTGATGTGTGTGTGTAGCGAGGTAATACCCTGAGAAACAGAGCTAGTTGGTGAGATATTAAAAGTCAGAAACATGTTGGTGAAACAAAATCAGCTGGCCACTTTTAATAGTGTGGCTGGAATTTGCTTGTTAACTCACTTATCTTTTGGAGGTGGTATTTCATTATTCACTTGCAGCATAATAATGGGATACATATTTCAAAAAAAAAAAAAAGATAATTGGGCTACAGTGATAGGAATAAGATGAAGTATTTTATCTCTGCATCAGTCCTGAATAAGCTTTTTCATGAAAAGCTGTCGTGAAGTAAAGCTCTTTAAAACTATCTGTCAGCAGATGGCTGTTACTTCCAGATTCATGTCTGTTGTGGCTTCAGCTTACTTCTTTAACTCTTGGGGTAAAGTACAGTAGATGGAAGATAATAATTTAACTTGAATTTAAGCAAAAAACACTGGAGCAAACAGCAGAGATTGGAAAATGTGTTTTGAATGTGAGCTTATCAATAATAAACTTCTATGTAAAGGAGGAAGGCTTTGGCTTTTTGAAGTACAAATAGTCCAGCTGGGACTTGCTCAGTATTGAAGTCCAGAGCAGTTTGGCTATAAATAGCTCTAGCCTTGTACAAAGAGTATTTAATCAGAATTTCGGTATCACTGATCTAAATGCAGCTGCTGACATGTCGTTACTTTTGATTATTTTTTGTTTTCTTATTGGTGTTTGGATGTTTTGAGTAGTCTTAATACAAGGAAGCCAATACTAAAATCTTTAAAACTCTATTGTGGTGTTTAACAGGTACAAATGCTACTGTGACGCCTGCACCTTCTTCACGCAAATCTACGTTTGATGCTGCGAGTTTCATAGGTGGAATTGTCCTTGTTCTGGGTCTGCAGGCTGTTGTTTTCTTTCTGTACAAATTCTGCAAGTCAAAAGACCGAAACTATCACACACTTTAGGACATGCCACTTTATAATGGACTAGTAGCCCAACACGTGTAGTTCACTGAACCAAAATATTTTCTGTTGCTCATTGAAGACAGCGGTTCGTAATATCCTTTAAATCTCTAAAAGAAGACTTTAAAAGAATATTTTTGCAACATTATACTTGGCAAGAGGTGATATCAATCTCTTCAACAGGATTACTTGCAATATGCTGCATGGGTTCTAATGGCTGTCTTATTTTCCTTTAGTGGCTGCTGCTGTGGGACTTTTTTTTGATATGCCAAATGTAGACGTTCAGAGATTCTTATTCAGTGGCAACACTGTCTTGAGTAGACAATCTCATGATGACTTATTGTGAAGGCTAATTTAATCAACATTTGATACAGTATCCCTTCAGTTTTATCAAGATGTGAATTATTGGTGACTGACTTCAGGGAGTGAAATAGCGTTTATACTAGCTTGTGGCTTTAATAGTGTACTGCTAGAAAGATGAACAAAATTGTAGGAATAGCTAATGTCTTAACAGAATAACATAGCCCATAAATTTTTTTACACAAGAATAAAGGTTGCCTGATAAAATACTGCATTCCAAACAGAAAACCTATCCCCTTTCCAATTAATGTTGAGGATGGAGAGGGGATGTAGGGATAATCCTTTTAAAGGGGAAATGAAGATTAGTGCCTTAAAAGACTAAAAATCAGTAGGCTGCAAAAGCGTCCCACCTGTCTCAAAGATAAATAAAACTATTAAGTACTAGCTTTGTATAGGGGAATGGAATACATGTGACTACAGCATTCTGGTTGAAAGTCTTTTCACACTAAATAACTGTCCCTTATTGACCTTGTTTGAGGGTGAGGGAGCATGGTACAGTAATGTTCAGCTACAAACAAAAGCTTTAAATTGTTTATCTTTTGTTCTGGCCTACAAAGACCAACCATAAAACTAGTGATAAAATTCAGTTCACTCCCTGTATAAAAAGGCAACAACTTACATTTATACTTGAAATACTGGTGTTTGGGAAATCCTGAGGTTTTTCTTATTCAAATGGTTCTTAAACTCGCTGGGATTAATTGCAGGGGATGGTGGGGTGGTTTGTGTTGGTTTTTTTTTTTTCTTTTTTCACCCTCCTGTATGCTTGCTGAATGAGCAATTAAGGGTAGTTCAGAGGATCTGCTCATTTGATCCTAGTCGGGATTGCTGTAGTTCTGGGACTGCCAGGGCTACATCTTTTTTTTTTTCTTTCCCCTGTCCCCTTCCTGGCATCAGGTTTGTGTTACCCTGCAGTGAACTGGTTAAGGAAATCTATTTGGCCAAATAGTTTGCTCTTTTTCCTTGGCTTGATCAGCCATGTGATCTGAGTATCAAAGGTACGCATCATCTCCAATGTAGATTGACTTGAGCACCTGTGAAAATAAACCCACAGGAAAAATGGAAGTAAGGATAAAATCAAGTGGTGGATGTAGCACATAATACATAGCTTTTGATGATATCCCTTGATCATCAAATTCGGGATAATCTGTAGTACTGTCTTACTAGCTCTGACTTGACTGGAATTTGGCACCTGATACAAAATGATAGTATTAATGCAGATAATTGTCATGGCAGTGGAACTTAAGTATGAAGCAAATGAAGTGCACTTCAGTTGGAAACTTCAAGTGCACAGTGTTGGTTTCTTGTGTTCTAGTTTGAATGGCATCGTTTCCATTGTACTGCATAGAAAAATCAAATTGCTACAAAATTCAGAAGTTACTCACCAGTACTGTATCTTTGAGTTCATTAGCTTTTGGTTTTCTAAATAGAACTAAGACAATCAGCTCAGGTTTATTAAAGATAGCAGAGTGAGCAGCCAGTTTCCAGCAACAGTATGTGTGTGGGTTAGATGGTATATCCTTGGCCTTATTGTGAAATCACTTAATCTGTCCTTTTCCTATCTGGGAACTATTTTATTACATGTATTTGTTCAGAAAGATATCCATGAGCTTGTGTTCTGTGCTTTGAAGTGAGCAAAACATTCTGCTAAAGTGTGAAAGACTTCTCCTTCAGCTCAGCAAAGCAAACTGTATGCCTAGTATAACATTTTTTTGGCCTCAAAGGGCTATCTTTTGGGAAACTGGCAGAAAAGTGCTACAGAACACTTCATAGCATGAAAAAACCTTGCCACAAAAAGAAGTTGCTCTGAATAATATTGCTAAAATGCTTATTCATGAGCTATGCTGATCCTGATTTAGGTTGCTGATAAAATATGCTGGTAAAACAAACTAAAAATAATTTTTGAAGTGCCTTAAAGCTGCTTAATCTTTTGCCTCAAATTTTGTTTAAAAGGGTAGAAGGGATACCTTGCCTTAGTTACTAAATTTTTTTTCTTGGTGCCAGCAATTGCTACTTTTGAAGACTTTAGGAAACCCAGGATCTCTGACATGTAGACATGCCAATCTGAAAAACTGTACTATATCCATTTCGTTGTGTTCTGGAAGGCCTGCACTACGCACCGCTTGTTTGTTAGCCTTGCCAACAAGGTATAATCCACAGTTTACAGAGTTGTGGCTCTACAGAGTCGTGGCTCAGATTGTTTCCCTTTCAGTTGTTTGGGGGGAGGGGAGGCTGGGTTGTACATCTTCACCATGTGCTTGGCTGCCTCACTATAGAAAGTAATTACTCCTTTGTGAAATGGCGGTATCAGCTGATCTGTGCTGTGTACTAGCAAAAAACCTGAAGTAACAACTTGCAGTTTTTCTTGGCCTTGTGTTTTGAAGTGGAAGGTAGCTCATAGATCTGTAGTTGTATTTGCCCCTAAATCAATTTTAGGCACTGAACTGTAGTGACTCTTCAAGTTATCTGGCTTTTTCTTGAAGCCAACTTGTGCAAATATCAAGCTGTTATCTTATGAATGTTCTCTGCGAGTGTTGCTGTAAAAGTTTGTATTTTGTCTTCAGTGGAAGAAAACTGAAACAGTTGTAATTGCAAAACCAAATTGATAAATAAAATCTGTTGAATGGAATTCTACTTGTAAACTTTCTTTAATGCGAGCAATTCCTGAGGGGCCTGTCTGCCAACAAGAGCTGTTTTCCATAGGAATTGAGAAACGCTGTAGGGGGAGGGAGAATAAAATGTTTAAAGAGTTAAGTTAGCTCTCCTAAAGACAGTATTAACTTTGCTTTTAGTAGGTGCAACAATACCGATTCAGATTCAGAATTGTCTCCAAAAGAATTCTCCTTTAGGTCATGTTTTCCATTTTTAACCTTGTTTTCCCCTTAAAGCCAAAGAGTAGCAAGGCATTTGTGAAGTGTTCCACTTGCTGCAACCAACCCGTATGGCTTAATGCTCCTCTTTTCAGTAGCAAAGCACTGGATATCAGGCTATAGGGTGGAAGAGGGACAGCAATCTGCGGTTCCAGGGAGGCTGTTAATAACCCCTGCATTGTAACATCTTTTCACATCAAGATCTTTGACCTTCATGAAAAAGGTATTGCTCTGAGCCTTATTTATTTACTGATTGCATGAGAAAGAGGATATTTGCTAGGGAATAAGGGTCAGTATGCTGGAACAAGAGAACAGAGGGTGGGCAATTCTGTAGTTGCAGACTGACTAAAATGATAACCAGCTCTGAGTGAAGTAACCTCAGCAGTTTCACATCCTGATCTTGATGCTTTTGTGGGTAGTGAATGTGTCACCAGGTAATATTGACATAACTCAGCCTCATGGAAAATTGCAAAAATTTTAGTAGTGTTTGTGGAAAAGCTGTATGGAAATGAAGGAAATGGAGAGCTTCCTGATGTGCTTAAAATTGCTATGCCTTCCAGAAAATCATCCATTACTGCGCACAGTCAAGGACTAAATTAAGTTTTTGTTGCAATGCAGCTCTGAAAGCCTATGCACAATTGTTTTTCTCCATAATATCAGTGTTGTGTTACTACCGTTTTTTGAAGGTGGTCTTCTGTAAGTATAGCATTCATTCAAAAATCATGTTTGAATTTTGCTGTATTATGTTGAGTAATACTTGAAGTGTTTTATTAAGAAGCTGTAATTAGCCTCAGACATAAGTGCTCCATACTTAAGATACTGTTCTACTTCCAAATTGGCATCTGGTTCTAGGAATGTGCTAGAATCACATTTGATAGTTTCTCTAGTGACAGCTGACTTCAGATTGTTATCAGTTGCCTTTTCATTCATTTAAGGCATACCTTAAAAATAACTCATGTTATTTGATAACCGATTCCACGGCATTCTGAGTATATTGCGAGCTTGAATGAAATAAAGCTTTTTTCAGTAATAGCGAGGGGTGTCAGCCTTATTCTAGGAGTCCTCTGTCTTTACATACTGCAGCATTTCTAACAGAAGTTAGATTTCCTTTACTTGGTGTTTAAACAATGCAATGCTGTTAAGGTTGCCCAAATGTAATTCTAGGTCTTAATTATTTATAAAAAGAGTACTGAGGTATTTGATTATTCATGTTCCCAAGCCTCTGTGGGTGATACTAGAAGGCAGGTTGGTATTTTACCTCATCAAAAGCTGCGAGATAATTTGACACATCTCTGAAAGACAACTTTGAGTCCTTTATTGGTTAGGCTATAAAAGCAAGCTTTTTTTTCATACAACATAAATACAGGTAGATCTATGCTTTCCCCCTCCCCCCCTGCCTGCTGCCTGCCTTCTGGTTAGCGTAGCATTGTGCAAGGAGCTGCCCTTCTTCCCCTTTCTAGGGGGAGGGGAGAGAAGGTGCTAGGGAAGGTGGAGACGCTAATGCATTTGATGAGTCATCTTTAAACAGGCATGAAAGGTTAAGTGTACAGGCAGCAACCTCTGGGGGTGAGAGCACTGCATGGGGCAGGATGTGGTGTTCAGGGGTTGCAATAAGAAAGGAGTTTAAAAGAAAATAAAAAAAACACACCAAACACCAGACCCAATGCTTTTGCTCTAAGCACTTAGCTATGCGCTTTGCACCATTGTGTTCCAAGGTTACCACAATAAAAGGAAGCCTTTTAGTTTAGAGTGATATCTTTGCCTTTCTGTACTGTGCTGCACTCTCTGCAAAGGGAGGGCATGCAGTGCTGCTCTTGCTCGGAGGGATCTGCGTCACCCAGTACCTAAAATGGATTAGCAGATTAACTGATTGGGGCTGGTATTGAACACTGCACCCAAATATGTTGAAGTACACATGCACAGTACTGGAGCATTACTGCCTCCCTTTGATTTGTATATAAATTGTCCTTCTGGTATTTCAAAGTTGCCAGTTCAAGAGCATTTTCTAAAATGCCCTGGACTGATTTAGGTTTACTTCTGGACCAGCCTTTGTTTCTGTAGCTGCATGAAGACAGTAGGAAGAGACTTATCATTTAGGTTTGGTAATAGCCTATCTGCCATCCTCTCTTTCCATCTGCTCGGCACCTGAAAGTATAAATAACATGTAAAAAGTGTCACCAACCATGGCATGGTACAAAAGAGAAAAAAAAAAAAAAAAGGGAAAAAATCTTTCCTGGATCATTGCTAACTAAATACCTCCCTCCTGCCCCCCTTCCTTCATCAATTTTTGGAATATTTGGAACATTTTTTTTTCCCCTGTTTGCTAGCCATACATACTGGTCACCTTACTCTTAAAAGGTATTTGACATCTTGTCCAGATGAAACCTGCTTGTGTATGTATACAAATCACAGCTTGCAAACTGGCAAAGAAGTTGCTCCTTTTGCAACTGTATCAGCTTATTACCAATGCCACTGTTACTTACTGTCTTTGGTCTTTGAGTTTTTCCTCCTGTTGCATTGCTGCTTCTTGGGTCAAAATCCAAAGGATGCTGCTGGTAATCCCTATGCTGAGTGGGCATGCTGTGTATCTGGGCTGCAGAACCTGGAGTGTTATCAAAAACACAGAGTTAAAGCAGAACTTGAGTAAATGCAAAAGCTGTTGTTTCTGACCTCTAAGGAGAATGCTAGGGTGAAAAATTAAAAAAAAAAAAAAAACACACACACACACACACACCCCGAAAAACCCAAAACAAGTTGTAAACACTCAGCATAGTACTAATAGAATAATAGATTGCTTAGTCTGGAAAGACTGTTTCATGAATGATCTTCACAAAGTAGAATAAAAACTGCTTGCAGATAATTGCAACTATTTGCAAAAACTATGTGCAACTCTGCAATTTTTGCAGCTCACCCCACACCCTTTTCATTCATAGTAATGAGTGTATCAGCACTCATTTCTCCAGCAGGAGACATCTCAGTGAAGCAGAAAATTCTTGCTACCCCAAGTCTGCTTCATTTTATGAGACTTTTTCCCATGACTCTCAAGATGAAAAGGGGAGGTGGTGGTGTTGATGATGTGTTCCCAGTGACACTAAATTCACTAGTGAATTCCAGTCCTCATCTTTGAGACTTCTGAAAAGCAGAGATGCAGCCACTTAATGCCAACCTTCAACCACTAAAAAAATCCCCACTGAATCAAATGCTATGCTTGCTATCAGCCGTAATGCGATTTAACCCTGATTTGTATCTGTGTACAATGTGGTGTTGCTATACCACTTCTTAACCCTATGTTAACCTTTCCCACTAACTTCATGTAAAATGGTGAGGGTATTGCTGCTGTGTAGCTGTAATCCTGCACTAACTGAGACAGTCTTCTTCCTCCTTCTCAGATATGATCCCAGATATTTCAGACCACATTGGTTAGCTGTTTCTGGCATTATTTCAGGGTGCGTGTCCAAAGGACTCTGGTCAGGAGAGCAGCTGGCAGCTGCCCAGGGTGCACGATTACCCAGTCTGGTCAGACTGCGTTCAGCATCCACGCATTCTGAAGCAGAGGCTTGAGAGGACTGACTACAAAAGCATCGCATGAACCCAGAAAGAAGTGCAGCAACTGTTTTACATTACTGAGACAGAGCCACGGTCAGTGCATTTCAGAGGGAAGAAGAGGAAGATGTGAAGATGGAGGAGAAGGAATAGAGAAAAAGCTAAAGGATGTGGCTCAGACTGCTGATCTACAGATTATTCTCACCAACTGCCCGAAGTCCTAGTTTATGTGGGCAATTCTTGGAGTTGACATGCTCCATTTCAAAAACACCCTCACCTTTATGGTCAAAACAGGGCTATTGCAAGTAACAGTTGCCACCCCTATAGACAAATAGGTCTGGCTAAATGCTATAGGTCTGAAGTCAGGTTAGTGACAGTGCAACTCAGATTAATAGAAAAGACAAATCTTTACATGATGCAAGTCTGGATTGCCTTATGAGAAGTACTAGTATTAATGCATCCAAAATGATAGCTATTTATTACTGACTTATTACCTAGAAAACAACTTCTTATACTGGTTGTACTATGGGACAACAGCTCTGCAATCTTCCTTCTACCTTTTTGAAAGTAAAACAAAAAAAAAAAAAAAACCACCACACCAAAAAAACCCCCGACCACTAAACCTCACAACATCCATCTACTATTACAGACATAGGAATAATTAAAAAAAAAAAACCAAACACACAAGTAAGAAGGTATCTACAATACACTGCAGAGTTTTAACACATTTCAGAGCTCCTGTGTTGAACATAGAGAAATCCAAGCTCCACAGCCAATTTTCCCAGCTCTGCATCGTGTTTAACAATGGTAACCCACTGCAGGAAAATAGAATAATAATTCATCTGCTTTCTGTCACAGCTGCTTTCCTTGTGCTCAGTAGCATCAGTGTGACTTACAAGTTTTGCACCAGCTTTTCCCCTGAACTTGATTGGTTTAAAGCCAGAGAAACCAAATATAGTTGTGCATTAATTAAAGTTACCTCCCTGTTCTTTGTTTCCCCACGTTTGGTTCATGTCTTGTCTTCAGCAGCGTGCTAATGAGTATTTCTCAGTTTCCTGCAGCAGGAATAGCAAACATTTTCCTGCAGAAGGAAACTATAATTAAATTTGTCATACTTTATGTTCTTCATGGCATAGAAATACACCTTGAAAGGTCATTGGAGTTTTTTTTTCCCCTGTTTACTTAATTTACTAGGAATTTAGGTATCCCCCATCAATTTTTCTGCATGAGTTTGCCAGACTGACAGTAGGATTTTGATACCACAGAGAAAAGCAGCAACTTCAGGCAGGTAGGAGTAGAAATCCCTAATCAAGCTTTTTAAGCTACATGAATTACGTAAGCATTACATGAAAAATTACCTAACAGACAGCTGAGAAGAAAGATTTTTGTTAAAGATTAAAGTTCCAGGTTAATTCAATTAAAGGGTGGAAAGCTCTTACTGCTGTTTTGAGATCCTCTAAAGATACCTGTAATCACAGGCATGTATCTCATCGAATTACAAGGGTACAGCCTTGTTTGGCTGCCCCGCACCATTTGTAGGTTGTTCCAAGACCAGAGCCACAAATGAAGCCTTATTTCCTACCACTTGGGATCCTTTGTTTCCTAATTGCCTCCTCCCCTAAATGCAGCCCCTCATATTTCCCATGGTATCCCTACAAAGCAAAAGACAACACAAGTCATGGTTAAAAGTTATTAACTTGGGAGTCAGTGTTTCTTGTGCTGCCTGAGCAGCTGCAGTGTAAAAAGGCATACGGCTTTTGAGTTGTCTGACTTTTCTTCAAGACTGCTTTAGGTCTTTCTCTTCTTCCTAAACGCTTTCATTACAGAGGAGGTCTTCTCTTTCGTATTTGGCTTAAGTTGCCTATTGCTTCAAAGGTTAAGGAGGAATTCAGAGGCACAGACACATAGCTATTGCTTCAAAGGTTAAGGAGGGATTCAGAGGCACAGACACATAGCTCACAAGACTTATTTCCCCAAGAAAGCAGATTACAACACACAATCTATCTTTACCTGCAGTCGCATTCCTCTGGGAAACTGCAGCTTCCAGGTCATAAACTTGGCACTGCCGTTCATCAACATGCTGGAAGGCATCCTGCTTTAAACTGCACTCTTGGGTTAACCGGCTTCTTATCTAAAAGGTGGTAAAAGGATTAATGGCAGCAATGGAAATTCACCATCTTACAGCTCTGCCTCAAAGCAGGGGCCCAGATTTAAAGGAAAATCTGTTGTTGCCCTGTGCGCTCTTGTGAATTAGAGGCCATTACTTCTTGCTGTTTGAAATAATCCATAATTACAGCTTTGCTAAACATATCCATAATCCCTCTGAATGCAAAATAAAGCACAAATAGTGCAAATTTACATTCTCATTATTGTTTAATAATTGCCTTTCAGCCATTGCTGGAGGAAGATAAAAACAATACAGAGGCCTTTTCTCTCTGTTCTCTGCATGTAACCCTAATTAGACAAGACCCTGCCTCCATTTCCAGGTCAGAAGTATGTGGAAAAACCAGCAGCTCTTCCCTCATCTCTTCCACAGACTCTATAATTTGTTAACTAACTTTATATTTAAAGTTTGTTAGTGTTAACGACCACATCGGTGCTAGCTGCAGCTGAGACTGTTGTGTGGCAATAAAAGCCTGTACACTGCAGTTGCCATTTTCCTTCCTGCTCTCCTTAAAGGCCAATCCAGATGTTGACATCTCCGATCCTTGAAGAGTTATTTTGTAAACACAGCAAAACAGTTCAGAGCCACATCAAAGACAGATACCAATGAAATCAGTGGTCTTACATGTCTGCACCAACTGCTTTGGCTGTGTAAAAGTCTCCTGTATGATTTTGATTAGAAAACATGCCAACAACCTGAGAAATTATTCCCAGCAGAATGGCATTTGTCATCTTGACGCTGGAAAACAAACAGCCCACGCTTTCACCTTGGTGCTTTAGAAGATTGAAGACAGACTATACTTTGCTTAGTTTACAGGAAAGGCATTCAGATACAGTTACAAAGCTTTTTTCTCTGTAGGCCAAGAAAGCAATGGCAAGGAGACTTCCGTGGCAGCAAAGCTGTCAGTTAGTAGATGGATGCATCTAGTTAAAGTCTAATCAAGTGGTTTCCAAACACTATTTTGTTCTTGCAGGGTACACTACAAAAGGAGCACTTCACATTTCACAGCCAAGAGCCCAGTCTACCAGCTGTGCTGAACCCAGAGACTGCACTTACTTGGCCAAATCAGTTTTTAAATTGAAGTAGTTAAATCTCTATTACAGGAAGATAATCTTAACAGTGGATCTGGCTACTCAGTTACACTAAATCAATGATCAGCAATGCAGTAATGGATTTAAACTCAATGCATCAGTTCAGTACAATGGCATCAGTTTAGTGAAAAACTAATGCCATTTCTGTGGCCAGACTGGATCAAAACTGTTCCCTTCCCCAATATATTCATTTGGTAGTCCAGAGTTTGGGAACCAGTGGTGTAAGGTATGTGAAACAGAGGTGAGGGCAGAGAGTTTATGTCAAATGCAGAGTATATAAAGGAAAAAGACAGCAGTTTGTCAGCTCTGCAGCACTGGTGCGGAAGCCCTGCCTGGGAAATGTCACAGGGAGAGCCAGGAAAGTGACAACCACTACAGACCTGGGAACAGGGCCTCAGCAGGGAGGCAGAGCCCAAGCGAGGCTCCAGAACTCCCCATTTAGTGTGGTGACAAGGATGGTGGTTCCAGCAGAGGCCCAGGGCACACCACGAGGAGACATCCCAACAGGGGATGCGTGGCTGGCCAAAGCCTCCAGAGCCACTGAGCCCAGCCACCCGCTGCACCTCCTGATCCCCTCAGGGTGCAAGCACCCACTCCCACTGCACCAGCACCTTACACAAACCCTCAGGCAGTTTACCTCTAAAATAAGGAGAATAATACTCACTTTCTAGAGTAAATATACTGAACCAGGCTCAACAGGAAGGGCCTGAGAAGCATCAGAGACACAAGATGCCACCAAAAGGTGGACCATGACCCTAACCCCCCAGCAGGCAGGGCCCAGCGCAGTGCCAAGGCTCATGCTGCAAGACCCCCATCCAGAGCACTTGGAGGGCTACAGTGAAACTCCGTAAAGTTCAGACACTTCAAGGGACACACTCAGATGTGGTCAGACAGTGTTAAGACATCTCTCCAGAAAGATGACTGTTTCTATTTTTCAAGTCTGGATTATGAGTTTACCTGCTGCATTTCTTTTTTGATCTCATTTTGATGAGGACAGCATATTTTAGAAGATTTTTCAGCTTCCTTGGTCAAGCATTTCACTCTCTGCTCTTTTTCTTCTGTCTCTTCAAGCATCTTCTCTGTGTTTTGAGCTTTCATCACACTGAGTATTTGTTTCTTCTTGAGTTCTTGTGTCTTCCTCTGTACTACTTCCAACAGCATTTGTTTCTACAACATGCAATCATGAAAGTTTCAGACTTGAATGACTTTCTTCCAGTTCCCATACACACCTTTTTAGATTTCCTTTTAAACCCTGATGACCACTCCCCAGAGGTCATGCCCAGCTGAGCTGAATGAGGACAGACCTGATCCCACATGGCTTGGTACTGAAGATAATGAAATGTTGGTAAACGAATCTGAATAATCCTATGATCTTCTGAAAGGACCACAATCAGACCTAAACCCAAAAGAAAATCTGGGTTGTGGGACTGGGGAGTTCAAGAGAAGGGTAAGGGGGAGTGGGAATAGAATGCTGTATTTACATCCTTGCTTGTTAGAGAGAGAAGCCTCAAAAACAACATTCATGTGTAGAACTCGTTCAATTGCAAATAAACAACAAGGCAGTTGCTTCCAATTTCCTCAGTCTGCTGTAATTTGCTTTCTGCAACCAGCCTCTGCTCTGCATGTGGAACTTGTTTTTAAAGCAACATATAAACAAGGAAAGAGAGGGGGAAAATGAGCACAGCTTTTTCAAACATTGCTGTTTATACTCTGTTTGTAGAGACAGGCAGAAGTACGGCTACATTTTAGAATCTGTACCACAATTGAATGTAATGGTATTACAAGCTGTGTGTATCAGGTCAAACCCTCCTGTACAGCCAAGGGTTGTGGAATCGAGTCTGCTGCTTGTAAACACCATCATCACAACCTGTACCAAGGAAAGAAATTAGGAAGAAGAGAAAGAACCAGAAGCTGGTGTCAGAAACCAAAGGAAAACAGCAACAACAACAAAAACAGCTGCTAGAAAGATGGGTCTTTTGGAAGTAAGTTGACAGATTGTCAGTGAAGAAAACCAATTTATCAGCTAAAGACAACTCCATGCTGTTGAAAAATCTGAACACAAATAGCTAAAAGCAGTCAAAGCCCAAACATTTTTCACTAGGGAGCTCTCTAAGCCTTACTAGGTTGGAATTTCATAGACCAATAACCTCAGAATGGAACAATCAAGCCATCAGATGTGACTTTTTAATATCACTTTTACCTCAATTACTCTTGTATTGGAATGAGCAAGTTGGTTTGACTAAACCCTATTTCCCAGAAAGGCATCTGGTCTTGACTTGATACTCAGTCAGATATATTGTCGTTTCCACAGTTAATCACATTTCAAAAACATTGTTTCTCATTTTCAGTTTGTCTGGCCTCAACTTCTAGGCACCGCCTCTTGTTATACCTTTCCCTAAGAACCCTTTAATATCTGCTATTTTCTCCCAACAAAAATATCTGCAGACTGTAATCAACTCACTCTTCTTTTAGCTAGGCTAAACAGACTGAGCCTTTTGAGAGCCCTCTGCTAGAAAGCATGTCCTGCAGATCCCAAATCATCTTCGTAACTGTTCTCTGCACTCTCATTTTTTTCATCTTTTTAAACTAGTACACCCTGCAATCAGCAGCAGAATTTCAGTGTGTTGAGCCACAAACCCATTTTTAATGTATCTATCTGCACTAATCCCCTTTTTATAAATTACAAGATTGCAGCATCCTCCCTTTCCAGTCCCACAGCACATGGCCAATCATCTGTGTGTTACGATCCCTGTCCTATCCAGGGATGCATTCACCTGTTCTGTAGGAGTCCTGCTTTCTTCTCGGTCTTCGTCTACTTAGGCACTGCAATACATCTCAGAGGGATAACCAAGTTACCGAGCTATCTCTATGATTCTGTACTCCTGCTCTGCCCACATCGTTATTCACTGAATGTGCCTTATCAAATCCACTAACATTCCTCTCCAAATATGTCATCAGTAAATTTTATAACCTATAATTTTGTATTTATTTCCAAGCCACTGACAAAAATGTTGACTATTGATAGTTCTGCTACCAAACCCTGTAGAAATCCATCAGAAACCATCTTCATTTAATGAAAATAGCACATCTTTATATGTCCAAAAAATCTAGCTCTCAATCCATTTAGCATTTTTATTGATATTGTGTAATACTAACATTTAAAATATGAAAGTTATGTGCTGCTAACCCAAGTGTTACAAGGCCCTTCCAAATATGCGTTACACCTCTAGCATTACGTTTATCTATCTAACTTGTAATCTTATCAGCAGAGTGAAATGAGGTCGGTTTGACAAGACTTATTTTCCATACAATCCTGTTGCTTGGCATTATGTATATTGCAAGTGAAGGGTGTGCTTTGCAATTTGACTTTGAGGAATGGGCTATTTCAGCATGTGTAGCCATGTGTAGAAACGAAAGGGAGCTTGCTGGGACAGTGATATAGCCATGAAGGTGTTCAGATGGGGGGAAAAAAAACCCAAACATGAAATTAATTTGTTCTGGATTTAATGAAAACACCCCTGAACTTTTCCTTGAAATGTAATGATTTGGTAGAAGATTAATAACCTCAAGATCTGTAATTATTTGTTTTTTTAATCTGGGGAATCAAATATTAATAGTGTCTTTTCCTCTACTAAAACACACATCCAGCCCTGTTGATTGTGTATATAAATGTATTACCTGTAGCTGTCATTTTGGTAAGTGACTCAAATTTTATCCAGGACACTACAGTTTTTTCCCTAGTTCTCTCTGCCTGCAATGGTGAAAACACTGAGACGAAAAAGTTTCAATGACATAAAAAACACATCCAGCTTCAGTAACTGTATTATGTGATTAGTTTTGAATCCATTTCTCTCCTAGAATAACAGTAGGCAAAATCCTCATTAAAGCAAGTGAGATGCAGAGAAGAATTCAACGCGTTACAGTGATGAACAGGGACCTGTTGAATTCAGATACCTGTTTATGTAGCTGTTTCTTTAGCTTATCATTTTCTGCTTGAGATTTTGCAAGAGCTTTCCTTACAGATGCGAGCTGACCCTGAAATGAAGTCACCTCTTGTTCTGCCATCATCTTGGCATTCAGACACTCTTTTTTGTTTTGAAGAGCTTCCTGTAAACACAAAGTACATAACAGAAACAATGATGAGAGCAGTGATTTTCTCTCTTTTATATAGCAGTGGGTTTCTTGAAAGGTAAATCTCTCAGAGATTTTTAGTAAAGTGGGATTGAATTGTTCCTATTTTCTAATAAAGACGGGACCATTTTAAGGCAGAGTGAGGAACAAGATGGACAAGAGGGGTCCTCTACAGAGGAAAATGTAAGGTAATCTTTCATATGGGTACAACTGCTCATCTTGAATTATATTTACATGACAACAATTCAAGTTCTTGTGTGGAAACAAGAGCAGTGCAAAACTTGATCTTTCTTATACATTAGAAACACCTGCCCATCTTCTAATCTGTTCATCCTTCATTATCTCTAAAGTAAAAATCTGTGTGATGAAGCTTGTTTTCCTTCGGGGCAGGGTCTTTTTGTTTATTTTAAACACCAATGTAAATATTTATATACATGTTACTATGTCAGGCATGGATTTAGCAGCCCTCTCTCCTTTCCCAGCCATTTAAACTGGAAAAAGCAAGGTCCGTGATCCTCTGCGTTCGGAGTGGAAGTCAGTGAAATACAAGTTCTTAGATCTTCAGGATCATTCCAAAGCCAAGACACAAGAAAGCTCTGTCTGAGCAAGACGAGCTAGTTTCTAATTTAAAAGGACAAATTTTCCCATTTATTTTTCTCAGCTTCAGACTTTTGTTTTAAAGCCTGTGATGATAGCTCTTATTTCTTATTTAAATCCGCAAATTCGCAATAATTCAATCCATTTTTGACTGATCTGTTTAATAAAATATTCTAACGATTTAGCATCTCGCTGATATAACTGAACTAAGTGTATGCACATCCAGTTTTATTTGGGTTTAAAATTAACAAGCACACAAAACCCATTTTGTTTTTTCACTCTTTTTAAGTTAACAAATATGATCCATTCTGCCTTTCCTTTGCCTGACATGTGCAGCTAATTAACCTATAAAGCAATCAATAACCTGTTTGTTCCATTCTAATCAGCCTCATTTAAAGCAGTGAGGCACTTTTCTTTCCATCCACTTTCACTTTAGTTTAATTTAGTCATTTTTGTGCTTCATCTTGTATTTCTGTAATTAAATTTATAAACCTCATGCTGTGTTCTGCTTTGTTTAAGCAGATACCAATTAAAAAAAAAAAAAACAACCAACCCCAAAAAAACACTCAGCCACCTCCCAAGCTAGCAGTCCAGTTCATTTTCACTTCACGTCTGCCTGTCTTCTTTTTCATAGGTTTTGGTCAGTCGTGAAATAGTTGATTTTGATACAATGTCATAATTAGTCTTCTGAGTCAACAACAGATTTAGGAATACTAGAGGCTACACCCTAGTCTCTTACTTCAAGCAGGCATCAGGGATATGCTTCACACTCTTCACATTTGAAGACCACTCATACCCATAATATAAAGAAGAAAAAAGTTTCGAATTTTTACCCCAAATCTGCAGTTACCATGAGATCTTATGGATTCACTGAGTAATAGTGAGCCTGCCCAATCTGACCATTAGTTTTGCAGAAAGTTAGACACTAAAACCAGATGAAATGGTAGGGAAATGTCACCTTCTCAGCATCTCTAAGCTTTGCAGAGAGCTGTGCCTTCTGAGTAATTTGCTTCCAACAGTTCAGAGCCTTTAGCTTACAAACCAGTGTGCTCAGCCTGATGTTTTCATCCCGCAAGAGCTGCAGCTGTTCCTGCTAAAGAAAACGTCGGTAAGAGTAGACCCGCAAAGATTCCTTTCCCCAGGAAGAAATGCATGGTTTGGAAGTAAATACAATTGTAAAAGCATGCAACTATTTGTATTTCATTTAAATTTTCAAATGCTCAAACTTTGCAATTTGAAACAGTGCAGCCTTTGGCAATAAATTTCTATTACTGTGTCTCCAGGGAAACAGGAAATGTGAACATTACCCAGAAACTGGGAAAAAAAAATGCAGAAATTTGGTCCAAAACAGCAAGTAGGTAAACCCCTCTGAAATGAAGCACTGTTAATGGTGATAAACACTGTTATGCCAAATGGAGATTTTGTTTCATACCATATTCAGTAACCTGGTTCACCCTAATTGCAATATCCTTAGCAAGAATGAAATTAGTGGATTCATGAGAAGTGTAGTCATCAGGTTTTCTTCTTCTTTCTTCAAAATAGCAGACTTCCTCCTGAAAACTGTTCTTAAGGCAGAGGAAAGTAATTTCATTACGCAAAAATTATAGAAACAAGGGTTACCGAGGACCACTGGAGGTCCTGGCCTTCTGTCTCTGCACAGAAGCTCTGCCATTCAGTGCCAACTCACCTTCTTACCCTTCGTGTCCCATATTGGTTTTATCTGAAGCCAGGCTTTGGCCTTCCTAATTTCGTCGCTATGTGTCTGAACTCTGATACTCTACCTTTGTTGCCTGTCCATGTTTCCACTACTCGCAATCTCTCTTTTTGTATTTTAGTCCTTTAAGAAGCTCCTTGCTAACTCAAGCAAGGCCAAGTTTCTGCTAAACTCCCCGGTCTTCTTGCATAACAGGGTAGTTGGTTTTGAAATCTCTTTAAAAATCAACCAACTTTCCTCGTCACGTTTCCCCTCCTGCCAGTTTCCCCGGGATTCTGCCCAGCAATTCCCTAAATAAGTCAGTCTGCTCTCCTGAAGTCCCAAGTCCTACCTCTGCAGCATAATTTTGCAACCTTTCTCCTGATACTGAAATAATTTCGTAGTCATTGTAGCCTCAGATGACATACATCTGTGATGATATTCACCATTAGTTTTCCTCTGTTTGTGAGCAGCAGAAGTAGGGATTTACCATGGCTGGCTCCCCTAGCATTTGCATTTAGGATATTACCACTAATGCTGTCTAGGAACGGCCTAGGCTTTCGCAATGCTCTGTTCCCCTTCCATTAGATTTCCAGATGGATAAAACCTCCAAGAACACTAAGGCCTCATATGAAAACCACTTTTCTTAGTTCTCCATAGACAGTCCTATCCAATTTATCCTCCTGACCAGGTGGTCTGTAACAGATCCCCACCACAGTCGTTAACCATCACTAACGTTCCTCCCTCCTCTGGCCTTGACTCATAGGCTTTCAGTAGTATATCGCCACGTTCATACAAGACTCAGTGCAGGCAATGAGCTCCTTACACAGAGTGCAACTCTTGCTCCTCTTCCCTGCTGATCCTTCTTAAATGTCCTGTGACCACCCATGACCATGGTGTGCACCAGCCCACCAAGTTTCCATGACTCTGCTCAAACCAGAGCCCTTCGACTACACATGAGCTCCCCACACTCCTTCTTCATTGCCTTGGCACACTGTCCTTTCCCAGTGGGGATGTGGAAATCTCTCTGCAGCCTTCTCACACATGGACCTCTTCCATTTCCCCTTGTTCCTAATTTACTTCTGGGTGTCCCTATCCCCCAGGTTCACTGGGGGCGTGGAAAGCCCTTCTCACTCTGTTGGCATTACAGTTATATCCTACTTTGCAAGCTTCTCTGCTTGAGAGATCTGCAGGCATATTTGCTTTAGACAGAAATATTTAGCCATATTATCCATTTGATCTCATTTGTATTCACTTACCGACTACCATAATTTTAGTAGAAATTAAATTTTGCTGAGGAGGGATATGTTTGACTGTGAAGGGGATTGATTTGGAAGTTGCAGCCTGCAAATTACTTTCCAGGTTTTAGTTTATAACTCCCAGAACATCAGGTTTGGGGGCACTTTTCCAAAACATAAAGCTGAATATATTTTTGTTTCTGAATAACCCCAAGAGGAAAACGGGATTCTGTCCCTGTTCTTTTATGTGATCGGTTTGCATGATAAGAAGATAAAACTCCCATCAGCACACTTATCAGGGTCACTGATACATCATATTGTCCTCCCCCCACGCAAAAAAAGGGACAATGGCAACACATGACAATGCTGACATATGATTGAATGTGAGTTCACGTTTATATTTCTTCAGATCCAAGTTCAACCTCACTGTTCACCTGCGTAGAAAGCATGGTGTTAGTTTCACTCAGAATGGACTGAAAGCAGATTTCCTAAGTTTAGAACCAAATTCAGTTCAAATACACACAGATATTCAGGGTCTAAGGGCTAGGTTTGGCCCAAAATTTCTGCACTTGGAGCATAAACACACAGTCAAAAATGATTGATTCATGACAGCCTGACAAATGAGTAGCCATCAACAGACTCTAGTAATGGACCACCTCCATGCTCTTCACCCAACCGATGTCTCAGATGATAGAATGCAATAACTGAAGCTATCTTCAGCAAGTTTAACCAGGATATTATCCTTGTGTTTGTTTACTGAGGCACATATGTATTTCCTTACTTTAGACAAATGTTCTTTCAAGTCACCATTATTTTTAGTAGAGCCAAACTTTTCCTTCAGATCAATCATATTGTCAACTCCTTCTCTTCTCACTTCACTGATGATTTCAAACACTCGTTGCTCAATGCTAAGGCGATAGACATCCAACTTTCCCTGCAATTACAAACAGAACCCATAAGAGATGAAGTGTGCACATATGGGAAGGCAATATTCAGAAGATTTCAAAAGACTCTCAACTACGACCAGATGGTCTTTCTCCATAATTATTTTCCTAGAATCAACGTATCAGGAAGTCAGAGCAATATTCTTCTTGCATCCAGGCACTACAGGAAGTGGAATTTCAATTGCATCATTTGCAGGCAACCTACTGGCAATCCTCGGGTGTATGTATTTAATGGAAGCAGCAGGACCATGGTGGAAAAAAAAGGCTTTCTGGTGAAAACTGGACTCACCCTCAGCATTGCAAAAGAAATCACAATATTCCTCAACTAGCTATTGCCCTGGCCACAGACACTAATGGGCTTGTGGACCATCAATCAAAACCCTGGGGATCTGATGCAGGTAGTTGCTCTCTAATACACATAGTCACAATCAGGTTAGTTTTTACAGGTTTGACTGGGGTATCTTATTTTCGTAAGTAATGACGTATGTCACTCCAAAGAAATCAGTGGACTACTAGAAAACAAAGGCATTGTTAGAGTGGGCAATACAATTACATAGTGGAGATAAAGTTTCCAAGAAAAGTATTGCAGAATATTACAAACTGAAGTATTATATCCAAAAAGTTCCCTCCACTGTAACTAAAAAGAGCTTCCACCACTCTATTTAATGTGGTAGCTGTTCCGTAGAGAATACGCCTCCTCTCTTGGAAAAGGTAAGCTATTTTTCTACCAGACGTTTTTACAAGATGCTTCTAGCAGCAGGAGATAAATGATTCACCCATTCATCCACCTGGCACACTGCAGCAATTTATTCCTTTGAGTGCTACACTTGTTGGTAAATTATACAGCAGCACAAAAGAGACCGATTGAGTACCGCCTCTTATTCTGTACCTACTTTTAGATGGACACAAGTCACAAATAAGTTCCGCACTAATGATTCATATTCATCCCGTACTTCTTTTCTAATCTTCTCTTTGAGACCAAGATTTTCTTCCTCTAAGTCAGTGAGCTGGGATCTGAGAGCAGTTATTTCCATAATCATCCCATGGCACAGCCCCAGTATCTGTCACAGCAGAGAAAGTGAATGAGCAAACCTAGGGATGAGCAAACACCATAGTCTAGGAGTAAACGATCCAGAGCTCTGAATATGTTGCATGAAACCTAATTAAGTAGAGCAAGAATATCTTCCTAACTGAGAGGCCTGATGAAAACAATCCATTGATGATATGAAATAATCCATTTTGTACATCTCTGTTGGTTTTAAAAACATTTCTTCTCTGGAAACAGTAGGAAGAATTGTGGCAGTTCATGACCAATATTTGAAGGGGGCAAATGCACAAGTTTCATATATAACCTTAAAAAGTCTGTTTCTGGTCATCAGAAAAGAAACATCTCCTCCCTAATAGGTATGAGAAACAACAGAAGGAAATGTGTGCAGAGGACAGAGGAGCAGAAGGATTAGGGAGTGGGATTAGGGAATCTGATTTTAGGAGAAGATCCTGTGTGTGGCTCTGCTATGTCGGTGAGCCTGACCTCCCACAGCATCATCTCCCCTGCCTCCAGAGAGAAAGTCAGAAGAGTTGTGACCAGGATTTGTTCAGTAAACTGTGAGGTAATTCATTTATTGGAGCAAATATGCTGTCTGCTGATAAGGTTGTACATACAGACCATTTAATATTTGATAAAGACAATTATGTGTTCCATTTGTTGATATTTGACAATTAACACCCTCGGAAAGGGTGCATAGGAAGGTACATGACAGAATTTAAAAATATTTAAATGACAGAATTTAAAGCTCACATTGCTCGGTATAAATGTTTGGTCATTTTCCTACCATGGAACAGCATTTGCAACCAGATGAACACAATGGAGGAAAGCTAAAAGTCATTCTTAGCATATTACGTTATTCAGATAAGAAGTAGGCACAACTGCAGACTGTAGGCACAGCCAACAGCAGAGTCTGCTTTCAAGGGTGCCTGGCACCTCCGCATGCCAGAGCTAAGTAGTAAATGCTAATAACTTCACTTGCTGAAATCCTTGCTGAAATTTTCCGTATCATTTTTTTTTGGTCTTACAGCAAACATTACTGAGAGACTTCTGAAAATGAATGTTGGGGAAAAATACATGTATTTTAGCCCTGCGGAAAAATTCTGGTGATCTAGCACCAGTTTTCCTCTGCTCTGGGTGTCTTTTCTGTAAAACCAGCAAAAAGTTGGTCAAATCCTAGGACTTTGTTGGAGGGAAAAAAACAACCCACGTCATTCGTGTACGTTCCTCACAGACTTTTTCGTTTTCAAACTATCTGCCATCCCATTTTGGTTGATCATGCCTGAACCCTTCTCATGGTTTCTAACACCTCCACTGAGCAATTGAGCTTGCTCTTCTGACTTGCAACAGCCTCTGTTAATTGCTTTAGGCTAGTGAGAAGTGGAACTGGGAGTGGAAAGTCTCTTCCAAGGTTGAAGCAGAGCCCAGCAACAGTAGGCAGCTGCCCAGGGTGGCCAGTCACGAGGAATGAGCTGTGTTGTACTCAAGGGAAGTGGCAGATGAGATAGGGGTTTGGCAGCGATGGGCTAGCAAAGTGGAGAGGGGGAGAGACTCCACTGCCCACAGGCTCCAGGAAAGTCCTGCTAACTCCTCCTGTATCTCACAGAATCACAGAATGGTCAGGGTTGGAAAGGACCTCTGGAGATCATCTAGTCCAACCCCCCCGCCAGAGCAGGGTCACCTACAACAGGTTGCACAGGAAGGCATCCAGGCAGGTTTTGAATGTCTCCAGAGTGGGAGACTCCACAACCTCTCTGGGCAGCATCTTTTCCACCCAGCTGAAACCTCAAACGTGTTTCTCATTTTCTCTCTCACTCCAGCCTTCCCAAACATATGGACAGGACAGTGAAATCAGGGAAAAATCTTGTCTTGCTGACAAGAAAGGACAGAAAAGGATATAGGGGCATAAAACTGGAAAGACCATGGGAAAGAGAGCCAAGAAACTGATAAGAAGCCCAGAGAAGAACTGGAATCTTGTAGTCAGTGATGAGGACAGATGAGAAAGAGAGCTCAGGAATGAAATCCAAAATGTAGATGTTCCAACACTGCTGTGCAAACATCCCTGAAACTCAAGCAGTCTTCTCCATAGTGTAGGTTTCTGTAGAAGCTGACAAGCTTCTAGCACTGGAGTTTGTGTTGATGGTGCCAAGCCTCCAAGTCAGCTGATAGATTACACAAGATGCCATTTCTGATTTATTGGCTGGGTTACTTCTTTAAAAAATTCCACCCACACATACGAGCCATCCTAAAAAACACAGCTGAAGTTGCAAAGTCAAATACTCAGAACTTAAGAGGAGTTGGTTATGCAGTCATGATGTAGCATACCTGGTATCTATGTGACGGTACAGCCTGAGTGCCTGACCCACTTTTATCTCCTGTCTCACTCAATGATTGAATTGCCCTGGGAAAATGCCTTGTGTAGGGAGATCCGTCAGCAGAAGTTTAAGTTAGAAGTTTACCAGTATATCATCCATTGTGAACAGGAACCACAGAGCCGCAGGCCGCTATCTTTTCCTTCAGGTTATCTTTGTTTTACAAGTCCTTCTGGCATGACTTCTGGCATTGAGTGCAGAAACAGCAGCCCCAGAGCCGCCCTACTGTTCTTCTCAAAGACTACCACGACGTGTCTGCACAGTGGCACTCTGTCCCAAATGAGACCACTAAGTACCATCATCACCAACCTGTGTCAGAGCCATATCGCTTTGGTTGCCACCTTCTTCCACTGCGTGCAGCTCCTGAAGCAAAGCACAAAGATGCACGGTGACTACGCTTTTGTAGCCCAACTCTACTTCAACAACTTCCCAGCCTGACAGCTTGCCTTTATTTTTTACTTAGCAACTGCCCCCCGCCCAGAGAAACCACCTTCCCCTCTTCTCAAAGAGTAGAATCAACGTTCTGAGCATACTTGTTCTTTTTGGTAAAGTAGACGGTGCTGCTGCTGGAGAATATTTTCATAAAACATGGAGTAGGTCTCAAAGTTGCTGCGCTCTCTGGCCATGATGTCACAGCCCAGTACGGTGACACACTGTTGTAAATGGCTTTTTTTAAAAGTAACCTAGGAAAACAAAATCAGAAACCTTGCAGGTTGCCTGAGTCGTAACAGCTGCTATGTACAGCATACGTCAAAATGAAACATGGTCACCTTATTGTAAATCAAATACTTCTGCGATATCAAAATGAAGCAAAAATAAAATCATTCAATGTAAATGCTTTTGCCCAATCTGCAGTTTCACTGAACTGATGGAGAACAGATTTGTCATTTTTTTGACTGGTTCTAGCTGCAACTGTATAACACACTTTTTTCCATCTGAAGCTGAAAGAGAATTTTTAGTAGATAAATTAAATCACCAGCTCAGCAACTGCCTGGATTGCAGTTGGGTCCCAACATCCCTTCTCTTGAAAAAACATGTTTTATGTTTTTTAACCAGAAGTGGTCATATTTTCAGAAATATTTTCTTTAAATTTTGCTGAAAAAAAACCCCAAACCTAAAACTGCTTCCTAACATTGTGCTGGATCTCTGATTTAGCAATGGCTCAGGAATAAGAGTTCCCACTCCTGAATCCATGAATAAAGTCCTGCAATCCTGCATTGCGGTTGCATATAAAGGTCCAGCCCTAACTCATCTTCACATTATTACAGTCCTGAGAGCTGAAATAAACCTGTCAGAAGGCAGTAGGGCAATACACAAGTTTGCTGCCAACACCGCTGTTACAAACCACCATAATCTGAATCTAAGCTCATAAGCTTAAGAAATGTGTTTCTCTTTCAGGTCACTGATTAACAAGAGCTTTAATAAATAAAGCTGTAAACATGATTTAGCTGTTGCTTAGATAGAAATGCAGAATATGTACCTCTGTATCTGATTCTTGGTAGTTTTCCATCAGCCTTTGAACAAATGTTTCAACTATCTGTGGTCGTACAACTGAGAAATTTTCTTGCATTACCCTGTGTTTCCAGAGCTCTGCAGGAACAGAGGGACAAAAAAAAACCCAGAAAAACCCAACCAAACAACAGAATAAAACCACACATCAGTGTGTATCGCTGTCACAAAATATTGATCCTTCAGTAATCCCTGGGATTTGACACTGGGTATGCTTTATAGCTTAGGGTTTCTCAGCTTTCCTAAAATGTTTACAACAAAAAGTAAATGTCATTGCTAACAGATTGCAAAGCCTGTGTTGAGCAGCAATATCAAATTCATTCTGGTATCAAAGCCAAAATGCAATTTCATTATGGACCAGTTCTGTCAATAATGACCTGGCCCACAATTGTGTATTGGAGTTCTCTGTAAATATTGAGGGAAGAATATGGCTTGTGTGTGAAATTGAACATTTCTGTGTACTAATTATTGCTGCCTGCAACCACAATCAGTGGGAGTAGGGCACATTTTTCTTCCCTGTTATTTCCACTTTTTCTTTGTTTTACTATTTGTGCCTGTGAATACCCAAATTGCCCAGATCCATGCAGTAATTGTACCAAGTAAATACCTAACATCCTAAAAAGTCTGGCATTTAAATTGCACTGCTAGGCCTAAAATATTAATGTTCCAACACAGAGGGCTAGAGAAGTTATTTTCTACAGTTTTTTTCAGGCTGTCTGCAAACTCCAGAATAATTAGTGTTCGGCCCTGTTTGCACAATTGTTTTTGCCATGATTATGGCTAAGCATTCACTTCATAAAGAGTAAGTCAACTTTTAGATTTAGGGAATTTGAATCTGTTGAACAGACGCAATAACCAGGTCCATGCAGAAAGGCGTATGGTATCTCAGTATACAATTCTTCACAGCTTCCTGCTAGATGTACTTCTGGAATTTCTCACAATGGTCTCTCCAAAACAGAGGAGTTTCCTGAGGGTAAGCCATTTTTCATCAGTAATACCTTCCTCACGATTCAGCTGGTCCCTGGCCTCCAAATGGGTGCACGGGGAAGTGGGGAGCTGAGAGCAAATGCGCTCTCCTGTTCACACGAAGGACAACTCTTTGCTGCATTTACACTCCGAGGCTACTTTTCCCACTCAGGACGGGGGCTCCTGAATTTCCCAGGAAATGTATTTTAATTTCTCCTTACCGGTAGGGAGACTGGTCTCTTGTCTGGCTCTTTCAGATGTCACAAGAGTCATCTCCTGGTTAATTTTCTTCTGCACATCATGGATCATGTGGATTTCTAGGCTTTCCAGAAGCTTTTGAAGCTAGAACCAAGTTTAATACTTAGCTCTTACTAAATCTCTATACTGCTTGTACAGCAACTTGCCAACTAGCAAAAACTAGCAGACTAAACCAAAGCAATTCTCTTTCCATTCTTCTCTAAAATACAGTACTTTCAAGTACAGGTATCAAAGTTAATATCATTTGGGGGTGACTGTGAGTCAAGTGCTGTGCCACAAATACTCTGGAGAGAGGCAGGTTGCCCTGTTGCTTTGGGCTGTCTCAGGGCCCACACCAGGCTCCAGACAGCAGAGATGCCATTGCAGACCCTCCTGGATCACCCGCATCTGCCCAACTTCTCCCCATGACAGCCTCCACAGGCCTCCTCTGGACTTAATTTATTAGAAATTGAAAGAAAACTTGACACTGTGTGGTCCCCCACAATGCCCACTTATTGGCCTCCCCTTACCTGGCACACTTTCATTTCGATTTCTGATGCTCCTCTGGTGGGAAGTATATGCTGAGTGCTCGTAAGGGGCTCTCCAAACTCCTCCTCTGTGCCCATTTGTCCGACTATGGCTTTCATGGCCGGGTACAGGATATCTGCACTAGAGTCACCAAGACATGGGTATTACACACATTCTCTCTCAAAATTACTGTGTTTGCATTCGCTGACCTTGGACCTTAACGTTCCTTTTTTTTCCTCTGCCCCTGTTCCTAACCCACGCAGAATGTGATGAAGTCTCAGCTCACTGCATTAGCCTCACTTGACCTACGAGCGGGGCAGGGCAGTCTCTTCTTTGCTGGTCCTGCCTTATTACATAGTTCAGTAATTTCTCCAAGTTTATAAAAATACAAAACTAAAACGGAGGGGAAGGAGCAAGGAAGGGGTTGACCAGATAAAGCAGGGAAATCTGGTCACCAGTAAGAACTTGTCTATCACCATCATTCAAATAGACCAAGAAATTCCTGCCACCTCCTCTCTCTGCTCTCCTTCGTATCTGATCATGGATTTGCTTAGTGCCTCTGAGTGCTACGTGCCAAGGCAGACACAAACTTTGCTCTTAGAAGCAGCAGAGCCATTAGCAAAGCGTATATACCTCCTTATATTTTATTGCTTTAGTCACTCTGCCTTTTAAACCCTTGATGGCATGACACAAAGGTTAGCACAGAGCTCAGAGAGGGAAGTAGGGAGCTCTCATTTGTGAAAGGGGAAGGGTGGAGACGTGGAGGAGGGAAACACAGTGGGATTTCTGGGTACAGTACTTCCCTGGTGCTTTAAAACAGTCCCATCCTTACTGCAGGCAGACCTCCTGCTAGGAAAGAGCTGTTACAGGTGCCACTACAGAATCTTCTGCTCAAAGGCCACTGTAAGCAGAGCCAGGGACGGGGAGCTCAACTCTCATCCCAGGAGGGAATAACTGCTAAACCCGATCTTGGGTATCACCATGAGAAAGCTTGGGGTGATGGGAAACACTGAGGATGGGGCTCTCCTGCAGCTGCCCAACCCCATGGGTGGAAGCACAGGCTGCATACAGAACTTGCATCCCTGACACCCAGCCCTCCTGCAACCCAGTCCTGCTCTGCCCTGAAGCTGCTCCCTCAGCAGAGTTTATAAATTAGCTAAAGGCAAAGATGGTGGGCTCCCAGCATTGGACTGTGCCCCCTCCAATCTGGTAGTAATACGTAAGAGAGAACACCAGGGTACAGACAAATGGAGACCAGAATCGAGCAAATCTGATACCAGCTCTTTACACACACACAAATTTTCTGTGATGGATTTAGAGTTGTCAATCTAAAATGCCTTGGCCTTAGAGGGACAGGCCCACTGAGCATTGCTTCCGCCGTGCTCTGTTGCGTGACAACAGTGTTTTCCAGTGCCTCCATGCACGGATTTCACCCGTACTGTGTCATCTTGCTCTTTCACTTCCTTTCTTGTGGTTTCCGGGGACAGGGCTTTTTAACAAGCCATGTTCCATTTTCTGCTTTCAGAAGGGCCTCTCTGATGGAAATCTTCCAATTTTCTATTCTTGACTGCTCAAAGTTGAGCCAAGTAGGAGGGTCAAGAAGAATTCTACAGTTCATCTAACAGGCTTCCAAAATTTCCATTTATTCAAGTACTGTATTTAACATTGTTTATGAAGCCCGAAATACAGAGGCGGGTCACACGACTGAGAAGAATGCACTTGGAAAATGTCACCAGCAAACAGTCTGAATAGACATTGAGAGAAAGGAAAAAAACAACCGTACTGAAACAAAGAAACAAAAGGTAGTTCTCAAGCCTTTAGAGAAAAGTGAAAGTACTAGGTTAATTATGAGCAAAAAAAAAGGTGGGTAGAAATAAAACAAAAAAAAGGGAAAAGGAAAGTGAAAGAGGGGGACAGGAGGAAGATGGATGGAGAAGGCAGAGACTTTTCTCATTTTTCATCTTTTCAGTCACTCTGGAATATTCTTGCATCCAAAGTAACTTACCCATATTGCTCACAAAACTCTTTGTAGAGAGGAACTGTATTGATATCCTCAGTCCTCAGCTTCAGCCGGCCCCATTCTGCCTTTAATATTTCTAGTTGCTTCCACAGTATCAGAAAAGATCTCAGCAAGTTACATGATACGAGTGGATCATGATGCCTCAGCAAAAGTTTGCACGTCTTTTTGCTGTTCTGCAACCAGTTAGCACTTGAGTCAACCATTTCTGCCAAATTCTGCTGGAAGTCACAGGGAAATGTTTTGCTTCAAAAAGCTATGACAAGCTTTCCATGTGCTTTTCTTTGTTTAATGCAATATACAGCGGGACATGACATGTGACAGCGGGGCTATTGTGGAATCAGAACCTGCAATGGGTCCTTACAGCAGTGTCCTTCAGAGCATGGCACAGGGAAAAGCCAGGCTAGTTTTGATTACAGTGAGCACATACAGCAGAGATGGGGATAAAATTGCACAGATATTCAATCCTTTGTTTTATTGCTGCTTTCCTCAAGCAAATTGCTTCAACAGCAACACTCTCTGCTCGGTCTCTAACTAAAATACTGCTACAGAAATCAAGCTATTAGCTCAGATCTTGAAGGAAGCAAACCTTAAAGTAACTAAATTTGTCCTTTCCATCCATTTTACCTTGCAAATCAATTTGTCTATCTGTTTTCCATCACAAACACTTTGAACGTCTCCCCATTCCTTGAAACAAATCTTTATGTAGTTTCTGGCAGGCCTTAGGTGCCCCCAGTCACCATTCCTCACACCCACAACCACAACACAAGTACTCAGGGAAGTACAGCCTGAAAGCACCTGGCTTCTCCTTGGCTAGATTCAGTTTTGGATAGTGGCCATGCTGTTCCTTTCCCCTTTGCACTGACTAGCTCTTGACAAAGAAAGAGCTGGACCTTTGGTGGGATGTGGGGAGAAGTCAGGGCAGGCTCTGTTTTCTCCAGAAGTCTGGCGATACCAACAGGCTCTCAAGGGGCATCTGTCACTAGGGATCTTGGGATCTGTCGAGGGATCTTGGGATCTATCTAGGGCTTCTCTCGAGAGCACTCAGGATTTAAGGAGACAGCATCGTTCTCTTTGCTTCTTACCAGATTGCCAGGAGTAGGTGAGGTTATTACAGCACACCTCAGGTCTAGCTCGCTTATGTCTAGGTCGTTTGTGGCCAGCAGGTCAAAGGGGGGGATTCTGCCCCTCTACTCCACTCTCATGAGACCCCACCTGGAGTACTGCATCCAGCTCTGGAGTCCTCAACATAAGAAGGACATGGACCTGCTGGAGCATGTCCAGAGGAGAGCCACGAGGATGATCCGAGGGCTTGAGCACCTCTCCTATGAGGAGAGGCTAAAAGAGTTGGGGCTGTTCAGCCTGGAGAAGAGAAGGCTCCGGGGAAATCTTATTGCGGCCTTCCAGTACCTAAAGGGGGCCTACAGGAGAACTGGAGAAGGACTTTTTACTAGGGGATGTAGCGATAGGACGAGGGGGGATGACTTTAAACTGGAAGAGGACTGGTTTAGATTAAACATTAGGAAGAAGTTTTTCACTTTGAGGGTGGTAAGGCACTGGAACAGATTGACCAGAGAGGTTGTTGAGGCCCCATCCCTGGAGGTGTTCAAGGCCAGGCTGGACGTGGCCTTGGGCAGCCTGGTCTAGTGGGAGGTGTCCCTGTCTATGGCAGGAGGGGTGGAACTAGATGATCTTCAAGGTCCTTTCCAACCTAAACCATTCTATGATTCTATGTTCACAGATATTTGGTTGCAAAAACTAATGGGAGTCCTATACAGAAGCTGTACAGTTCCAAACAAACTGAATTGTCAGAGGTACCTGTTTGCTCTTAGCTAATGAGGCTTGACAGCCAGTGTGATCTTCCAGAGCGCAGCCGTAGCTGTTCTGCAGTACATCCTCCATTAGAAACTGCATGGCCACCAGCTCCCCATGAGCAACTCGTCGGTCTGCATCGCTCAGGCTGCACAGGCACAGCTAGAGAGGAAGGGAGAGTCTCTGAAGGTCTGCTGTGCAGAGCTTAACCAGTAACAGAAAATCTCAGATAACTGTCAGCACTGGGGGGTTTGTGTTATAAACACAAATGGATTTCAAGCTTTTAGCACCCTGGTCCTAAAACACATATAACTATGCATAAAAATTATTTGATTCTCTAGTTCTAGCACGCTAGGAAAATGATAAGTATAGGTTCATTAACAATAAAAATGCTCTGCTCTGCTTGAAGAAAGATCAAATGTGATTCAAATGGTAAAACAGGCCTTTGGATGGGAAAGGGGGAGATCTCTTTTGTTCACTTCTGTTCTTTAGAAAACAAGGACAGGAAACAAGATAGTTTTAGTTTGTTTTCCTCCTGCATCATAGATTCATCTTGTCTTTATTTCTTTGGACATAAGCACAAGGCTGCTGTCTCACTGTACCTGCATGTTGTAATTTATATTAATTGCATTGTTGATAGTGACTGGAAACAATCCTCCATCCATTAGGAATGTCCTCCAAGGAAAATGCATGAGTGTCTAAAAGAATAGAGATGGCTGTTCATAAATAAGAACAACATTCAATTAGTTATGAGAGTCCTCTCTAATTTGATCAGGAAAAGGCAACTCAGAAGCCAAACTGCTCTTTGATATGTGATACACTCTTCTCTGACTTTGAAAGTAGGCCATGTACTAGAAAACAGAGAAGCATCTATTATCGCTCCTTGGGAAAGAAACAATAAGATTCATTCCAGAATACATTTCCTACAAAGAGGCTGTGCTACTACTTTTGCCACAGAATAGCTCCCACATCCTACCTACTGTCAATCATTTATTGCTGGTCCTGTCTCAGAGGCATCAGGACATCTTATTCATCGAAGACGTCCAGATTTTGCACACCAGTACAAATCCTGTTTCTCAGTTATGCTAAGGAGATTCCTATATGTCATTGTCACCTGAATCAAGGCAGGGGTGGCAGAAAATTGTATTCCTATAATTCATTGTTTGGGAAAGGCATTGTTAAATGTGAAACAATAGTATCTGATATTGGATAATTAGCAGGATGATGAAAATGAGGAAATATGACGTTAGAATGATTATTTAAAACTGCCTATTACCCTGGAACATGCTAATATCACCAGCCAGACCCATCTTTACTTCCCTTGACATTACACCAGCATTCTTTGCCACTGTCCTTCATGGTGCCTCTTTAGCACACAAGTATCTTGTTTGACATTATGTAGCTCTGTGTGACCCTACAGCTAAGAAACCACTAGCCCTAAATATCTTGCACACAACCATGGCAAACGCGTTGGGCAATTAAAACTGCTACCAGGTGATGAGAGAGCTCAGAAGGGTAATTACCAAAACTGAAAGTTAGCAGAAACACCAACGTCTATCATACAGAAGAATTCTGTTTTGGTGACATCAGTGTGATTACATTCCGTCTCAAATTTTTATTACCAACTTCTCTAGAGAACATTTTCTAGAATTCCTTATGGCAAATCAAAGTTAATAAGCTGTGATCATGGGATTTTTTTAATTAGCTATTAGTGGTTAGGTTCTTTGCACCATGGTAGAGAAGGAGTAAGCACACCAGCAAGAACCGCAGAGGACATTGTTCTCCAAGGAGCTCGGTGCAAATACAGGAAGAGTGCCTCAGAGGGTGTGCTTTACTCACTCTGCAGCTTTGAGGATCCAGAAGCTGTGGGAGCCTTAGCTGTGAAGCAAAGGCACTCTGAATCGCAGAGTTACTCAATGGAGGCAGCGCGTGGTATATCTGGTCCGTTACTCTCTGGTAGGCTGAAACATTCCCTGAGGACAAAAATGTCTCTCTGCAAAGGAACAAAAATGTCTGTATTAAAAAAAAGTAAGATGACATCAAAATTCCCCAAATGCTCTATCACAAAATTAACTGCTCCCCATTATAACCCAACATGGTAGCGAGTGATAAGGATAGCAGCAGATAAGACAATGAAAACAAATATACACAAATGTTAATCATGTAGATACACGTGTGAAATTGCATCTGCCTGGGGACATTTGCAGCAAAATATATGCCTATGCTAACAGAGAGGGATGCTCGGGCAGCTAATAGACCCGATGATTGTAATCCAGGAGCTCTACTACTTCCTATTCCTGATATTAGGATAATTTCCTATACAAAGAGGGAGACACACTAAAGGTTTTCAAAAGTGCTTGTGCAGCTTTGGAACCTAAATTATAGGATACTTGGAGTCCAGAGCTAGGTTTAGCAACAAACACTCCCCACTGATTTTCATGAGACCTGGTCTCACCCAGCAAATGCTGGGCCACGCAGACACGCCACAGCTCAGCTGAGCAGCAGGAGCTGCTAAAGCAGCAGAGTGCTATTCCAACAGGGGTCTATGGCGCTTTTGGGACCCAGCTGGCTCCTCGTGCTTGGATTGCATTGCGCTGTGCAATCCCACACATAGAGCTACTTTTTACTACACTGTGTGCATCAAGTAAATATGTTACTCAACCAAGCTTAGACACAACTTTGTCATTTCTTTGCAGTCTCTTTGTCACCCTCAGTTCTCCTGGACTTCACTCACATGCTTTTAAAACAAAGACGCCCCGATCAACTGGTTCTTGCAATATAAGAAGCAACTTAGTCTGCAACTCTTTCTGTAGCTGCATATCCTCCTTTGAATGGCAACTCTAGGGCAGGGATCTTGTTCTTTTGTTTTTGTCAACCACTCACAAGCGCTTCTAAAAATGACACGCAGTTGCAGGACTAACAAAGGAATTACCGGGACAAATAACAGCTTCCGGGATCAAACTTGGCAGAGAAGTTCAGAAGAGATTAAATATGACTTAGCATCACAGTGCAAGCCTTGGTGTGGAGAAAATGGAAACTGATTGCACTGGCAATAAGGAACAAGAAAGATGAAGCATCTGATACACTGCATTTCTCCTTACTTCCTGTTAACACATAATTCCTTAACTGAGGACAAAGTTGCCCTCGCCGATTGTCCCTAAGGTATTTTAATCATGAAAACACAGAAATAAAAGCACAAGGTAGTTTTATCTTCTTGCAAGTCTCCAGAAAAAATCTTTAGTCTACAAATCTGTACAATCACAGCCCCACTGGAGAGCACAAGAGTGGTCATACTGGGTCAGAGCAAAGGTCCATCCAGCTCAGAGTCCTGTCTCCCACGGTGATCAAAAGGGGATTCATGAGAAGATTACAAAAACCTTCAGAACAAACATATGCTGATATTTCCCACAGATATTCTCATGGCCTTCAAGAATTTGTAGCTCAGGCATTTGCTCAGCCAGAGGTGATTGCTAAATGTTTAATAACCTTTGGTAGATGAGCCTGTGTAGTCTCCTTCCGAGTCCTATGAACTTTTACCACCCACTGCTTCCCGCAGCAAGAAATCCCACGGCTGAATTACAAACCGTGTGCAAGAACCACCTTTTTTTTTTGTGTTCAGGGCCGGCTACCTGCTGTTCACCTGGGATGCACCTTATACTCCAAAAAAAAATGAGCAGCCACTCCTTGTTTACCCCTTGCCTTTGACTGACAGTTTTACAGAGCTCTTCCCCAGCTGTACTACTTGTTCCACCCAGCAGTCTTTCATCATCTGTGTGGCTCCTTTGGGAACCTGTCTTAGTTCTCTGTCCTTCCTCAGGTGGGGACCAGAACTGCAGAGGCTCATCAGCACAGATTTATTCAGTGTTGTAGTGGTGTTTTTATTTTTGCTCTCCTAAAAGGAATCAATTTGCCGTTGTTTTTTTTTTTTTAAATCTCTACTGAGCTGTAATTTTGACAGAATTATCTGTCATAAATCTGAGATTTCATTACTGCATGGTAATGGTCAAGTCAGAGGCTGTCATTTTATACACTGGGATTGTTTTTTTTCCCAGGTGCACCATTTTACTGACACACAGAACTCCATCCACTGATTTATTTTGCAGTCACTGTTTTGCAAGGTCCTTCCCCAGCCAGCCCTTGCCCTTGGTATCCTGAGTGTCTCAGTATCATGTACACACTGTACCACCCCAGCTTCAGTCCCTTTTCCATGTCATCTATGAGAACCTGAACAGCCCAGAAAGAAACCTCAGACTCCTGTGGGAAGCCACTGGTAGCCTCCCTTATCCACTGAAAAAGTTGCCCATTCACAGTCTTCTCCTTCCTAGTTCTCAACAAATTATTTACAAATGTGACCATCTCCTCACATATCCAGTGGCTGCTCACACTCCTTAAGAGCCTCTGTTGAGGCTGTTAAAGTTTTCAGGGAATCCAGACAAACTGTATCAACCCCTTACCCATGTTTGTTAACCTTGCTTCACTTGAGCAAGAAGCTACACACCATAGCTCACACTTAGGCTTCTGTAAAAAAAAAAATAAAAAAATCCTCGAGTTCTTTCAGAATTCTTGAACATTGCCTGGTCTTGGCAACTTACTCATCTTCCTTTCAGTCTGCTTGTCCCATAACTTTCTGTGGCAACACTTCCACTTGGAGCAGCTCCTCGCATGCATCTCCCATAAAGAAAGGTTTTGTTGTGGGAATCTCCTCAAGTTCTTCCTCAGGGAATGCAGAAACAAACAAATCACTTTTTAAAATGTGTGCTATTGACTTATCTTCACTGAACACTCCTCATCACCTACTGGCCCTGCGGACTCTCTGGCATGTTTCCTGCTCCTGGTATATTTTAAACAAGATTTATTATTAGTCTTGACGCCTTCAGCAAAATTGTTCCTTAAACTCTTTTCTGGGCTGTCTTGAATCCTTTTACATTTACCCTGTCACATTTTATAGTCTTTTCTGTTTTCTTCATTTGAATGAAAGTTCAGCTTTTTGAAGGATTGCCTTCTTGCTTTAATAATCTGTTTAATCCTGCTGTTTAGCCACGCCAACATCCTCTTACCCTTTCTTAAGTCTTTCTCCACATGTGGTATGCATTTCTTGAGTGCCTCCAGTAAGTCCCCAAAAAGTCTCCATGACATCTGCAAGGATTTAACTCCCCTAGTTAATCCTTCTAGGTTTTTTTCAGCAAGTATTCTCATTTTTATGTAGTTTCCCATTTTGAAGCTGAGCTCAGCTATGGTGATGTTTATTTCGCTTCCGCTGTTCCTTCAAGGATGTTTTATGCAAGCACATCATGGCTGCTCTTAGACAACAGATCTTTAACTGCAGCATTTTGAACTCGGTCCTGTGTGTTTACTCAAAAGTAAGTCCACAAGTTGTTTCTCTTCTGGTGGACTCCATGGTCTGCCTGGAGATTTGAAATTTCTTTTACTTTTGCACGTCCTGCCTTTATTTTGGTTCTGCCAAGGTTATTCCATTGGGTATGTTCAAACCACTCTGTGATCATTATTGACAGACAACATATGGGAGGAGAGCAGGGAGAAAAGGAAGACCTTTTAGAAAGTCCTGAAAAGTATGTCTTAGGTTTCTGTGATGGGGTAAACAACATTTTAGAGGAGGGTAAACCTAGATCTCAGTATAAGCAGGTAAGTCATGTACCTGCTTATTAAGCAGTCTTTGATAGGGGAAAATATAAAATGAAATGTAGATCCTGCAGGAAAACAAGAACATGAACTCATAAGTCTACCTCTGTAGCAGCTACCAACCTCCCTGATTTAGTAAACTATGAATCACAACATAGAGGTGATATAATGCTCAGATAATAGGACAGCTGTAGTCTGACATGGTCTGTTGAGATCCCTCAATGAAGCATGTAAGGACTCTCACCACTTGTAGTTAAAGGAAAATTGATACTTTTAGTAAAAGGAAAATTTCCACAATTACCAGGCACATTTCATGATCTTGAAGCGGATACCATGGACAAAATTTAAGTTGATCATTCCTACATTTTTTTATTTCTTTATGAACAAAAAAAGCCTCTCTATAAAAAAAGGTGCCAGCCCCATCCCTAACAGGCTGTAATTCCTACCGTAGTCGATGCCTGATCGCTGCATCAAACTGTAGAAAGATCACTTCTCTGTGAGCAGCTAGCAGCTGGGCTACTTTGCTGGGATCCAGTGGATTATGCAGGCTGTCAATCATTTTCTGTATCTCTTGAAGTTCAGTCCCTGGAGTCCCAAGAACAGTGAGTTTATCAGATAAGGTCTCAGGAGATGCACGTTAAAATCCCTCAGTTCAGCAAACTCTTTTTTCCTCTAAGAGTTTTGTACTTGACTTCATTCATTTTTCCTCTTTCCCCTTGGATGCAGAAGAAGAATGCGTTTATATCCCCCTCAACTCTACAAAGTCTACAGGCTTTAAGAAGAGAGATTATGGCAGGTGGAGAATTATGAGGATGTAGTAAGGTCAGGGAGGAAAAGGTATAGGAATGAAAAGTTACAAGCATCTCAAAGGAATCATTCTTTTATTATACTTTTCCATTGAAAAATCAAGTATTATAAAATACCAACAAGGACAATGGTACGTCTTTCTCATTTTCGTATCTGGTTGGTCTGGATGATCATTGTAGGTCCCTTCCAACCGAAAATATTGAGATTACATTTGTCAGACGGGAGCAGAATCAGGTCCTGAGATGGCATTTTACTTCCTCCAAAGACCTAAACTAGTTATTACCTGGTAGGGAACAATAGGGACAAGTTCTCTAACTGCTTTCAATAAAATACTCCTGGGGCTCAATTCTGCAAGCTGATGAATATTTTTCTGCTGAGGCTCTAAAGTTTTTTATTCCCTTTAAGCTTAGCCAAAAACTTCCCAAAGCAATGGCTCCCTATTAGTCATTACCCTTACAAGAGGTAATGCTCTTACTTGGTGTTCGTAGGAAATGTGCACAGGGCTTGACTGCCTCCCGAGACACAGCCACCGCAGAAGTGATTTAACTTGGAAGCACCTGCTACAAAAACCCAATGTTCTCTCTGTCGGGCTGCAGGGGCTGCCATCATTTAAGGAAGTGAAATGGTCTGATCTGGGGGAGAGGGAAGTTATTCCTCAGCAGCAGTAACAAAAACGACCTCTTGGTCAGGAGCAATGGAGTTAAAATGTCTGTGCAAAATGTGTTAACAGGGACAGCAGAGTACTGAGGACTCCACCTTGTCTGTATTTTCTGCTTTAAGACCGTGGTAGCACATTAGATACATCTGAAATTGAAATACATTGCACATAATATTCCTCCTACATCTGGTTATGTGGTTTCTTGCTGATCACTGAGCTGAGTCTTCTTGATTGTTTCAAAGCTCATTAAACATGCTAATTTACATGAGCTTTCTCAGTCATATACAAATGGAGTTACTAATACGCACTTGATGGTACAATGAGCGCACACCACAGAACAAGGAATGCTTTTTGTTAGAGAAAATAAACCCACTTCAAAATCAAACATTCACAAGCACAGTATTAAAATAAAAGCTATAACAAGTATTTATGATTCACTGAGTCCTTTCTTCCTTTCCAAAATGAAATTTCCAGGAGATAAATTCAGAACTGATAATAAAAATCTTACTCACATAAAAAGATAAATACATAAGGGATAAAATCTGAAGATTTAAAAGACAAAGCTAGTCTTTTATATATTTTTTCAAGTCTTGAAGAACTTAATATTTTTACCCAATTGTCATAATCAATTTTTCATTTTTAAAAGACACCAGGACAGAAGGGAAGCTGTGCAGATAAAGTTTTTACTCCTGAGTTGCATCTGAGCAGCGCTGAATGTACATATATATATATTATATATAAACATGGGTATTTCTAGGTGGCATGAAAACAGTCCAGCCACGCAGCACACACACCCACAGAGGAGGAGGTGTGCATAATGTCAGGTTTTGAAACTCCAGCTCACTATACTGCAGGAATAATTTGGCTGAAAAGCCAAAGGCCAAGAGCACTTCAACACTTGGAACAGGATTATCTCATATGAATGGTTGCCTAACTATCAGGCACCAAGTTTAATTGGGGTCCTGAAATCTTAGGAACTTCTAAAGAGGGTTTCATCCCACTTTGAACATATGTTAGCCTGGGATAAGCAGCTCCTCTGAAGATGTCTTTCTAACATTGCCCAGAGAAGGTGTCCAGTGACAGCAGAGGCACCTAGTTAGTGGTTAGGTACCAATACCTATATACCTAACTGCTAGCCACTGAAGGTAGCCACATCCGCTACTGCAGTACAGTTAAAAATGAACAGCAAGTCAAAGCCATTAGGTGAACTGGTACTATTTCTGTACAAATACATGTTTATGCAAGACGACACACACCTCAGCTATTTCACCCTTTGGAAATCAAGTGACAGATTTACTAGACTAACCAAAGCCTGCCTTTTTTAATCTTCTGGCAAAGATAAAATCACCGTGGGCTGACCAGATGGCTTAACAGACACTTGCTAAGGGCAGAAGAGCAATTTTTGGACCATGTTCTCTGTTCCCTGCCGGAGCAGACCTCCTGAGCCCGGCAGGTACGTTGCTTTTCTGTGAGATTGCGACAGATCTGTGATGCTGTGGGCATGCTCCTGAAACCCAACAGTCTTCCATCAGTAAAATGGAGCAGGAAAAAAAAAAAAAAAAGACTTGAATTTAATCTTGACTTTATTCTTCAGTTAACTTCAATCGCATCTTCATGCTCCCTTTGTCCCTTTTTCAACGTCAGCATTTCACACCATTTTGCACCTGGAATCGTCTACATTAAGCACACAGTACTTGTTACTTACCAATCCTGTCAGTCCCTCCCCAGTCTGGGGTCAGAGGCTCTGGGTTTAAGGCACAAAAGCAGTTTGGGGAATTTCCTAATTGAGCAAAAGCCAGGAGATACGAAACCACATCATGAAATGCACCAACAATTTCTAGGCTTAGGTGGAGAGCTCTGAGCGCAGCCTGCAGACAAGACAAATGCACAAAGAAAACTGTTCAGATGATTGTTCCCAAGCAAACACACCAAAGTAGCAAATATTTTTGCTTCCCAGGCCACAACTGCTCCCAGGCACCAAACAAGACCTCCCCGGGATTGCGCTGGGGCTCCCAGAGCAAGGTTAAGCCCTGGATTTCATTCAGCCTCAAGATACGACTCTCAGCTGTCACTATCCCATCTGTTGTCACAGCTTCTGGTTTAGGAACTGCTTCCCCAGTGTCTCTTAAAACCACTTTTTCTCAGTGTTCATATCTATCCAAACAGAGAGACACGGCCAGGCGGCCTTTCCCACGCAGTCCTTCGCCCCTGCGCTGCACCAGCTCGAGCTCCCACACTGCCAGGCCACCCCTGGTACCCCCTCCCTCCTGTCCCCTCTCCTCCTCATTTCAGCAGAAATAAGTCAGAGGACACAAAGGTCCCAGCCTGCTGCTCCTGTGTACGCAGGGACAGGGACAATACTTGATAAACTGGTGGGACAGGGAATGCTTTCACAAATAGGGAAAGGCAACGCGCATGGCTGGGGTTTGATTCAATTACTTTTGATCTTTAAAGATCTTTGGATTTTTAACTAATGGATCGTTCCTTTCCTTTTGATGTTGTTTCTACCTCTGAATGCAGAGGACCAAAGCTCTCTCCTTCCTGACAGGCACTCCATCAACACCCTTCATCACTGGCACGTGCTAGCTGCATCCAGATTAAAACCACTGATGTTTATTTCCACATCTCCAATGACAAGAAAAATTGTAATGCACATGAAAAGATGCGCATGGCATGCCCAGAAAAAAATCTTTTCTAGCATTAGCAAATACTGACCTTCTCTGGAAGCATTTTGAACATGATCAGCACTTCAGTAGGGTGAGGGATGAACCACAAGTTAAGGAAGGTGTGTCCATCTGGAGACAGCAAAGAGCGTGGTCGAGGATGGAAGGATCTGAATTATTGAAAAAAAAGTGAGAGGTGTTAGCATTTTTGAGGCTTCTTTCTGCCTGTCGCTTCTCAGATATTTTTTTTTTTTAAGTTTGATAAAACTGTTCCTTGGACATAGGATTTACCTTTAAGATTTGGAGCAAGTGTATTTTAGACATAACACAATTTAGCTTTGATGTGTAGAATACAAGGTAAAGGTTTGACCTCCAAAACCTGCTGAATGTGAGAGAAATTTGAAAGCAACTTTCTTAAAGCATCTGATTTATAAAGCAGGGATGTGAGCTGCTGTGCTGAGGGCATTCAGGGTCTCTTCCTCTGGGAACATGCTTTTGCTGGCTAGAACAGGAGACAAGCAGGGCAAAGCAGCAAGCAGGCATTAAAAATCTATACCATTATTTTAAAATATGATATGCAATTACTAGTAGGCAGCCCACTTTTTTTCCGGAAGATATGAAAATACAACATTTATTACATGAATAATGTATTTTTCTGGTTTTATATACAATGTGCCATTTCTTGTTTTCACATACATGAAGATGAAGTACAATACTCAGCTAGTACATTTGGAAATAAGAGATATAAACCCAGCTTGGAGATTAAGTTCAGCTCTTTCTGAAGTAAGTTTTGCAGGGTTTATAATCCTTTTTTTTTCCCTTTGTCTGAAAAAAAAAAAATCAAGGCTGAATGCAAAAAATAGACCTTTGGTTTGGGTGGGATGGAGTAATGAATGGTTAAATACTCTGTTGTAAGCACGGAAATTATATTTGGGTAGGGTTTGTTTAACCAGCTGTGCCCTACTAACTTTTGCACAAGAATGATAAGCACAAATTGTACCTAAGGAAACCAGACAAGTGACGCTTTTCAGGGTGAGATTAGTATTCACACTCTCTGTTTCCTCTGCTTTACATCACAGCTCGTAAACGATACCAGCAGGCAGAGAGCAAAGAGGGCAACCAGGGTTTCCTCCCAAGGCAGAAGCACACACACTCTCCAGATGTGCTTCGTCTTTACAGGCTCTGGCGGAAGCGGACTGTGGGCAGCCTGGCACAGATGCTGTACTTCCCCACCTCACCACGGGACATTAAGGGTGGCTTCTCCATAGCTGTGTTTGCAAAGGAGTCCCACGCTATGTCACCCTGCTATGATGTGGCACCTAATTTCTTCACAAGGAAGATAAGGACAGTCCACTGCATCCAGATAAGCCCAGGTGCTGCCTACCAGAGCGACGCATGAATGGTTTGCAGTGCCATCTCCCAAGAAACAGCTAAAACACAGTTTAATCCCAAATAAAAGAGATTTTCTACATTGTGTAAAAAAAAAAAAAAAAACAAACACAAACCTAAAACCTCCCCAAACGTCCCAGAGATGCTATGTCATGCTCACAGAGGGACTAGTACTTTTAAAACATGTATGGCTAAGAGCTATGACCTACTTTCATATGCCAAGTCTGGGAACAAAATAAAACCTGGGGGAAGGGAAGAACAGGATGGCACCACCGCACAGAAACCACAGCCCTACATTTTCCTCTTTCTTCCCTGCTTCTAACATTTGCTTTTAAGATGGCAGTTGCTGCAGGAGTCATTTACTATCTTATGTAAGATAACATTTCTGTTGCACCCGAGTACTTCTGCCTTTTTCTAAGGGATACTGCTAAGGCTTAGGTAAGCCAGCAAGGGTGGGTGCAGGGTACATATCCACAACCTTCCTTTCATCCCGCTGCAGCTGCACTCTGTATGATATAAAGACAGCAAAATCAGGAAGGACAGGGGGTTCATCTGACAAAATGCGGATGCTGACAGTATAAGCACCTCCCTTGAGTTGCTGGAGAGAGAGATGCACTTCCAGGACACAACTCATCTCAGCCTAAAGTAGGAGTCTGAAACGGATCATCCCTTCGAAGCACCTGAATCGTCAGGGCAGCATAGTCAGATACAACCTCTAAAGTTAGGTGGGCTGTTCTCAAACATTTCCTATTGATGTTAATGAATTATAGGCTTATGGAAATACATATATACATATTTGCAGAAAGCTTCTCATTATAACTGTTCCTATTCACATTTATTCTGCTCCTCCCCCAGAGTCTCTTCTTTCTTCCTTTCTTCTTTATTCCATATTATTTTTTCTCTTTTTCCCCCTCTCCACTCCACACCTATCTTTTTTCCTCCCTGTATTTCCTCCGCTGTAACTAGCCACCTTCCCCCTGTCCACCACATACGCTGTTTCTTCCAGCCAGCTGCAGGTCCTTCTCAGAGGGAGGGAGGGACACGGAAGGCAGGACCTGCTCACCCCCCCAAGTGCTTGGCAGCCACAAATGCATGCAACAAGATTAGTTCAGAAGATAAGAAAGCAATTGAATTAGTGTCCTTCTATAACCCTCTAAATGCAGGAGAGATGGAAGCTAAATTTCTGCTTTCATCATAACTAATTGACAGTTGCTGTCTACAAGGTGCTTCTTATCTTCAATTGAACAACAACAGAAAATGAAACATTAACTGGTAACAACTGATAAAGCAGGGACAAAAAAAAGGGCAGAGGGGCTGAAAGGGCAGGAGCCATTTTCAATTAAAGCCTTTTCTCCAGCTCCCTGCGCCTCCCTTTCTGGCATGAACGCCAGGGGCAGGTCGACGCAGGTGCGAAGGGCATGTTGCTGCTTGCTGCTGGCCGGACACCGTCATGTCTGCCTCCCTTCCATGGATAAGGATTTGCTCTCGGTTTCCTTTGCGTATCAAACACAGAGAAGCAGCACGGTATAGCGAGCGATATGAAAGCGACTCTGGCTGGGCCACAAGCTGCTGGAGAGCAGGCAACCGTCAAAGCACAGGAGGAGAAAAGGCAACCTCAGAAAATTCAGGGCGATTTAAAAAATAAAAGGGCATACATATGTATACATGCTTATTTTCTAGGCTGTTTCATTGTTTTAGATGTTTCATTTTAAAGTGTAAAAGGACAACATGTAACTGCTTATAAGTTAATATGCTTATATTAGCATTTTGGAAGTGTAATAGTATAACACTATGAAGTATTATAGGGTGTTGAAATATTTTCTTGCTGTTGAAAAGTTACAGGTCTAAAAGGCACACAGCGATATCTGATTTGGGTGCACAATGCTGGGACTTGCTGATCTGTATGTTGAATATCCCAACAGAGGCAATGGTCTGCAAGACCTTCTCTGTCACAAGACAGATACTCCTGAAACACACCATGGCTTTATTCTTTGCTTGACATCCCCATGACACCAAGAGTAGGAGGTGGTGCACAGCATGAACTGTTCCCCCTGCATGGGGAACCCAGACACTTACAGAGAGTTAGCAGAAGGACTTGCCTTGCAAGCCACAAGTTTTGAGGAAGGAGATCCTTGTGACATGGTCAAAAAAATCTCCCTTCCAAAAGGAGCAGATGATACAGGGTCACCCCCTAGTCTGTTGTGTGCTTCTCCTCTCCTTTCCTAACTTCTGACAAGTCACATGCCTACAACTTATTAACAGGTTTTGTTTAAATCTTAAATAAATAAAATTTAAAGGGTAAGACAACCCTCACTACCTAGGCTTAATCATTAAAGCAGAGATTTAGGTCCTGAAAATGAGATTATCTATTTCTTCTCCCCTTACATGCAGCGTTAGGATTAGAAGCAAGAACATTTCTAAAGTTTTCCTTCTTTGTATGCCAGCTTTTGCAGGTGACTCTGACTACACATATTCTACATCCATCAACATTGCCTGAAGACTGCCAGAACACACTGCTTAGAGCACTTTCAGACTATAATTCCCCTTACAAATATGTATGCACGTTTACTTGGTAATACACTCTGACCGAGGAATCTGGCCCCCAGGAACACCCTTGCAAACATGATACAAACCTGGGATCCACTGCAAGGTTTTTCTTTAAGTCTTGGTCCTCTTTTTTTCCTTGAGGTAGTCCAATTATGAAGTACTTGTCTCTGATTACAGGGAAATCATCTAAGAGGCTTCTTAGGCTATTGTAGTACCCAATGAGCTGACCTCTCAGGGCATGCTGGGACACACGCTGATTCAGCCTAAAAAAGTATAATTCAAATATGTAGAGTTGTGCAGGGCATCATCTGTCCAGATAAACTCTACCTTTGTTGAGCTTAATCTCTTTCTGTATGGACATCTTTGGCATCTTCTTCAGCAAAATTTACAAGCTATGATTCTTCTGTAGTGTGACAATCAGCAGGATAAAAACTGTGAAAGCAGTGTTTAAGAACCAAGGTAAATTTTAGATGTAATGCTTTTCGTCACACAGATGACTTTACAATGCCTTAGAAATATCTGCAAATTAATACAGTGACCACTTCGTAGGAGCTATTGATACTTAGATTACAATAAGGAAGCAGAAGCAGGAAGGAGCTAAGTGAGATGACAAGTTAACTGCAGAACTGGGAATGAGACAGCGTGACCCTGAGTCAGATTTCGTCATCACTGAGCTGTGCTGAAACTCCACTGGCTACAAGCTGCCTCCAGACCTGTCGGTCTCGCCTTACCTACTCACTCGATAAGCTGTACCTGGGGTAAAGGCAGTCTGCACCTGCAGCATGGCACAAACCTACGTCATTTGCAAAATGTGGCTTACTGAAACAGCTGCCCTACTTGGGGCTTGCTCCTTGCCACGCTCTTTCCTGAGGCTGCTGGGGTGCACCTCAGCATAGCTGGGCATATGAGGAGAAGACAGACCCGGGCGCTGGCCACATGCCAGGTTCTCGCCCAGGCTTTTGACGGAATGGATCTGGAACATACAGCTCTCAGGTGGCTTCACAACAGGCTACGCACTCCAGTAGAAAGGTAATGCACAAACTAGTCTAGTGCGGTACATCAAGTATAGTCTGTTTTTCAGTGAAAATAGATAAGAAATAGCTCATTTCCTGATTTTTTTTCCTTCTTTATTGTCACGTGTGCTCAATCTCATGATATTGTCTGCAGGGCAAAGGTCCCAGAAATGTAAATTCATCTGGGAATAAAACCCATTAAATACTGAACATTGACATATGAACACGGGATTTAAAAAAAAAAAAAAATCAAGTCCAACTCTGTTTGAACCTCTGGTTTCTCCCAGGTTGTCTTACAAACTAGATTGAATTCACAGGAGAGTACCTCCCACTCATTCATTCTCTGATCTACTGTACACTATTTCCACTACAATTTCTCGCTCACGTCAATGATGTTTATCTGGTGTTTCTGCTGAAATACCAAAAAAGTGTTGGTGTTGTGTGCCTCTACTTAGCATCCCATTGTCAATCCTTTCTCCTCGTAAAGAAAACAAGTGGCATATTTCCTATTCATCCACAGAATCACAGAATTTCCTGGATTGGAAAAGACCTGTAAGATCATCTAGTCCAATCATTAACCTAACACTGACAAGCCCACCACTAAACCATGTCCCTGAGCACTGTTATCTACACAACCCTTAAATACCTCCAGGGATGGGGACTCCACCACTGCCCTGGGTAATGTGTTCCAATGCCTTTCAGTAAAGAAATTCTTCCTAATATCCAATCTAAACTTCCCTTGGCACATCCAGCAACATGGTTTGTACTGCCTGTAGAGCTATCCTACTAAACCACTGAAAATGTTCTTCTTTTCTCAGCTTGAAAAATGGCTTACAGGTATAGTCATAATAATCTGAATAGGATGTCTGTAAATTCGTATTATCCACATGAAAAAGGTGCCCTCAGAACAAGAGTTATGTTGAAAACATGATGTGTTTGTAGGCATACGTCCACACTAG